GGTCCTTCGCTGCATACCTCCCTCCCTCCCTGTCTCCCTCACTTCGTATCTCCCTCCTCCCCCCTGGTCCCTCGCTGCATACCTCCCTCCCTCCCCGTCTCCCTCACTTCGTATCTCCCTCCTCCCCCCTGGTCCTTCGCTGCATACCTCCCTCCCTCCCCGTCTCCCTCACTTCGTATCTCCCTCCTCCCCCCTGGTTCTTCGCTGCATACCTCCCTCCCTCCCCGTCTCCCTCGCTTCGTATCTACCTCCCCCCCCCTGGTCCTTCGCTGCGTACCTCCCTCCCTCCCTATGTCTTTCCTTCCCCCTGGTCCTTCGCTGCAAACCTCCCTCCCTCCCCGTCTCCCTCACTTCGTATCTCCCTCCTCCCCCCTGGTCCTTCGCTGCATACCTCCCTCCCTCCCCGTCTCCCTCACTTCGTATCTCCCTCCTCCCCCCTGGTTCTTCGCTGCATACCTCCCTCCCTCCCCGTCTCCCTCGCTTCGTATCTACCTCCCCCCCCTGGTCCTTCGCTGCGTACCTCCCTCCCTCCCTATGTCTTTCCTTCCCCCTGGTCCTTCGCTGCAAACCTCCCTCCCTCCCCGTCTCCCTCACTTCGTATCTCCCTCCTCCCCCCTGGTCCTCGCTGCATACCTCCCTCCCTCCCCGTCTCCCTCACTTCGTATCTCCCCCCTCCCCCCTGGTCCTTCGTGGCATACCTCCCTCCCTCCCCGTCTCCCTCACTTCGTATCTCCCCCTCCCCCCTGGTCCTTCGTGGCATACCTCCCTCCCTCCCCGTCTCCCTCACTTCGTATCTCCCTCCTCCCCCCTGGTCCTTCGCTGCATACCTCCCTCCCTCCCTGTCTCCCTCACTTCGTATCTCCCTCCTCCCCCTGGTCCTGCGCTGCATACCTCCCTCCCTCCCTGTCTCCCTCACTTCGTATCTCCCTCCTCCCCCCTGGTCCTTCGCTGCATACCTCCCTCCCTCCCCGTCTCCCTCACTTCGTATCTCCCTCCTCCCCCCTGGTCCTTCGCTGCATACCTCCCTCCCTCCCCGTCTCCCTCACTTCGTATCTCCCTCCTCCCCCCTGGTCCTTCGCTGCATACCTCCTCCCTCCCCGTCTCCCTCACTTCGTATCTCCCTCCTCCCCCTGGTCCTTCGCTGCATACCTCCCTCCCTCCCTATCTCTCTCCTTCCCCCTGGTCCTTCGCTGCATACTTCCCTCCCTCCCTATCTCCCGCCTCCCCCCTGGTCCGTCGCTGCATCCTTCCTTCCCTCCCTATCTCCCTCGCTTGTACCTCACTCCTCCCCCCTGGTCCTTCGCTCCATCTCTCCCTCCCTCCCCGTCTCCCTCACTTCGTATCTCCCTCCTCCCCCCTGGTCCTTCGCTGCATACCTCCCTCCCTCCCTATCTCTCTTCTTCCCCCTGGTCCTTCGCTGCATACCTCCCTCCCTCCCTATCTCCCGCCTCCCCCCTGGTCCGTCGCTGCATCCTTCCTTCCCTCCCTATCTCCCTCGCTTCTACCTCTCTCCTCCCCCCTGGTCCTTCGCTCCATCTCTCCCTCCCTCCCCGTCTCCCTCACTTCGTATCTCCCTCCTCCCCCCTGGTCCTTCACTGCGTACCTCCCTCCCTCTCTATCTCTTTCCTTCCCCCTGGTCCTTCGCTGCATACCTCCCTCCCTCCCCGTCTCCCTCACTTCGTATCTCCCTCCTCCCCCCTGGTCCTTCGCTGCATACCTCCCTCCCTCCCCGTCTCCCTCATTTCGTATCTCCCTCCTCCCCCCTGGTCCTTCGCTGCATACCTCCCTCCCTCCCCGTCTCCCTCACTTCGTATCTCCCTCCTCCCCCCTGGTCCTTCGCTGCATACCTCCCTCCCTCCCCGTCTCCCTCGCTTCGTATCTACCTCCCCCCCCTGGTCCTTCGCTGCGTACCTCCCTCTCCCAGTTTTTTCGCGCAGCCTTGCCCTCACACTAGCTCATGTTCTGATTACTCAGCCTTGGCCTCGCCCCCTTTGCCCTCCCATCCCCCCTCCCCCCCCCCTGTCTTACATTGTCTGCCCAGGATGGGTGCTTTCGGGTCGCGCTTCCTCTCGCGTGCCACGCCCGTCGGCCTCCATCCGTCCCCCGTACTCCGCGCTGGAAGGCGTGCCTGTTTACTGCTGTGGCGAATGGGGACCTGCGCTCGACCCCGTCACGCGTGCGTCTCTAGATGCTTTCCGAGCCTAGGAGGGAGGGGGTTGCTCCTTAGCGTTCTCCACTGGTGGTGCAGCCAGTGATTGGCTTTACTCTCTCACGGATACCCAACATTCGTCGGGGGTTTCTCGCACTCTTGGTGGGGCGTTTCTATGGGGTAGAGGTGGTTGCTACATTCCCTTACTCGGTATCGCGTTACTCGACGGTTACTGCTATTGGTGGCGGGGTTAGTCTCGCCCTTTCGAAAGCTGGTTGAAGATTGTGGCTAGGGAAGGCAGGTGAGTAGTTCCGTTGCGGGAAATCTACCCGTGAATGGACTGTGTCGGTCGAGAGTTGGGGATATTTGTTTCCTCTTGTGTGAGCAGGGAGGCAAGGTTATTCTTCTGAGTTCGGGGGCGTGTTCCCTGGCCTTGTATGATGAGGGAGTGCGCAGCCTTTGTTTCCTTGCAATTGTGTCGGCGTGGTGGGAGCTCGTGTGTTCCTTAAGTCCGAAGTTGCAAAATGTGACACCTTTCCCTTATTGCGTTTCGTGAGTTGTCTCTTTTTGTAAGAGCCCTGAACACATGCGATAAGATGTCGCTGAGGAGTCGCGCGCCTGGTTTATAACGTATCGCATTCGCACAAAAGTGGTTGTCGTGTGCCAGCCTCGGTTCATTTCTGCCCCCCCGAATCAAATTCTTTTTCAGAACAACTTGCTGGTTTGTCAAAATGTTTATCTATGCCCGCTGTTCAAGGGGGGCGCACTTGAAGCCCCCCTTTGCTATTTTAGCCTGTGGTTTTAAGAAAAACATTTTCGAAATGTGCATTGGTTAATTGTGATTGAGGGACCGTGGGTCGTGTTTTCGTATTCGGGACGGTCCTGTTCGTGTCACGTGGAAAGCCTGAATATTTACGTCATTGGTTATAAAATATGGAAAACGCCTCGCATGTTCTTGACACGAGGATTAGAATAGGACCGAAATAATAAGACAGAATGGATGGAAAGGGGGTACGGATTCATGCCCAGGTCAGCGCGCATACAAAAGTGCCAGGTGGACGGGGGTACCAGCTGGCTGTCGCCCCCCGGTACGTCGGGATTACGTCTGATCGCCATAGCAAGCGCGTATTGGCCGGGCAATTCCAAGCACATTTCACGAGAAATTTCCGAGCTCGCACTCGCGGATTGGTTGGCGACACTCGCATGCTGGGATCGCATCCAATTCGGGTGGCGCGACTCGATGGTCGGTGGCATTATGCGACTGTCGTGATTGGTCACAATGTTTTATTGCGCTTTTTTTGCGAAGTCAACAGTAGATGTATACCGTACAGACGGGGTACATCGTGGCCGATCTTATCGAATTCCGGACCTTGGAGTATTACGTGGAGTAAAATGTCGTGGACCTAATGGCATACCCGCTGTACCCAACCGCGGTTCGTCCATTGTCGACCAAGATGCAAAATTCGCGCGACGGGAATCTGGGGACCAAAGCGATTTGACGAAAAAAACACATGGTTGCCCAGCCAGCTCCGCAACCGGACCGCACTCACTTCCAAGCGCACAATTCCAATTGACTGCACGACGCGGCGAAAAAAACAGGGGAGGTTTTCGTCTGCATATGTTCGCCACGATCGGCATCTGCCGATTCGGTACTTTTGTCGTTGGGGACGAACTTGGGGGTCAAGATCTCGCGACCTGCGTTCGCCCTGGCGGGAGCGAAAAATCGCGGCGTCTTGACCGCATTGGTACATTTTGTGTGGTGTACGGAGGTTAGAATAAGGTAACCACATCGGAATCTTGAACGTTCAGAAATTGAACCCTTGGTCCAACTTGTAACGCGTCCTCAGTTGCGCAAGTTTCAGGTGAGACCAGGGATCACTTTGAGACAATGTGCAACCCGTAAATGAGAGCAGGTAGATTAAAGCCATTGACCCAAATTGCAGAAATTTTGTTTCAGGTTTATTAATCTTGAAACTGCCCTTCTGGTAACTCAGTTCCGCAAAACGAGAGGGAAAACTAAGATCGCGCACCAAAAAGACGGGAAACATGTGATAGGCGTGCGCCACCCCCAGCCAATTCCGCCCCTGCCCCCGATACAGCAGGCGCTTGAGCGGAAAGAAACTTGAAACATGCGCTCATACATTTTGGGACTTCTGAAGTGCAACCCAGCCCAGCGCCACTACGCCTAGGGGCGTGGTACTTCTGCAAAAACTGGGTCAAGTTGCGCAGCGCAGGAATCACAGTTTGCGATGTGCCTGAAACAATAGCGAATTGTTTGTTACTAGATTCCCCGCACCAAATCTAGTTTCGCGTTTCGATTTGCATTTTTCGTGCGAGCTGCGTGAAAACACCAGTGTTCTTTACAACAGTTGATATGCGTGCGCCACCCCACCCCAAAGTTGTTTGGCGAAAATTGCCAAGTCAAGTTACCCACACGAGTTGTGCAGCAGGGTCAAGTTGCACAGCCCAAATCTCGCCAAAAGCACTTTTCCTTACGTGTGCCTTCCTATTGTTCGCTGTTCATCACCCCTCCCACACTCCCACTCTCTCCCTCCTTCCCCCCCACCCCCCCAACCAACTTCCCGCGCCTAGCGCGCCCCTCCTTTCCCTTTTCCGTCCCACCCTCCCCTTTTGTCCTTTTATATTGGCGGTGTTTTGCGTGCTCGGTTTGTTTGCGCCCTGATTGGTTCATGAGGTTTCGTCAAGAGTGTTTTTGTCGCGCATGGTGTTGCGACGCTCGCTCGTTGGCGAAAACCACTCGCCACCTCGCACCACTGCCCTACGCCCCTGCGCGCTGCCGTGTCCAACTTTTTGCCCCTATCATGTTTAATAAACTTGCACGTTTTGGGTCAACGGTTTTAAGGGGAAAAAAACAGCCCACTAGAAGAGCAGGAAGGTGGAGGTCCTAACTTATTTCGTACTTCAAACTGGCCAGTCCACGGGGAACGACTAAAAAACGATCTTACAATACAGCCCAGCCCACCGATACAATACAGCTCAACGAGAAAACTCCTTCGATACAAGGTGAGCGCGTTATTGAGCAAGGGGACGGGTCTTTCGGTATGCGCAGGACAAACCCAGGAACCCAGCTCCCCTCCCGCCGATACGTCACTGAGCACCACTGAGAGTTACTGCGCCAGGGGGAGCGCCTTGCCGTGGAAAGAGGAGAAGCGGCAATCCGCAGCGAGCACGGACGTAGACTCATAGTCCGCAGTCTTCCCGTCCAGGAACCCAGCGCCCTCCGCCGCGTCCGCCGCCAGGGGCCGCCCGAGCGCATGCGCGAGCGTGTTGTAATCCATCGCGCGCTTCTCGCGGCCCTCGCGGTACGTCTGCCCCATGATCCCGTGCACCTGCTCGGAAGCTTCCACGCCGTCGAAGGCCACGTTGATGTGCGTCTCGGCGTCGTCAGGTGCTTGCAACAGAGGGTGCGCCACGCGCAGCTTGATTTCCATGTCCACCAGCCCCGCTATAGTCACGCGGTACACGTCCTTCACGAACGCCCCGCCCGTTTCAATCCCGACGAACGCGAATGTGAGGCCGCCGGGGAGTGAGAGAGCCTCCCCTTCCTTGGTCATGCGCGGAAGCGCCTCCCCGTCCATCTCCGCCAGCGACAGGAATCCGTCCCCGCGCTCCTGCTGCTTCCCCGCGCGCGCCACCAGGCGGAACTTGTGCTCCGCCTCCCCGGCCGCCGCGCGCCACACGAACCCGAGCGCGCGGATCCACGTGCGCACGGCCTTGCCGTTGCGCAGCACCGTCGCGCCGACGGTGCGCGAGTCGTAGTACCCGCGCATCAGCATGTTGACGTGGATGTTGCGGTCCGTGAGCAGGCAGAAGGTCTTCTCCGGAGCGCCGTTGAACTCGAAGCGCGTGCCCTGCGCGCCCTGGAAGTGCGGGTCGTTCTTGGTGTAGGGGCAGCTGCCGCCGACGCGCGAGCAGTTGTACTTGATGCGGTAGCCGTTGTTGTTGTCCAGCTGAGTCTCGCAGCGCGGCGCCGTGCCCGGCGGGTAGAGCCAGCAGATACCGCACTTCAGGCACTTGCCCGAGGGGTTGACCGTGCTGCGGGGACAGGAAAGAATCAGAAAACAACAAGATAGACGAGAAGTTCAGTTGGCCACATTGATCAGAGTTCTAAACTACCCGCCAGTAACGGCCATCGTCGCAAATTAGGGGCGGCGGGGATCGGAATCCAAGATACTTAAAATCGGGAAATATCGTCACGTGCCGTGATCAGGGATAAACGGAGATTGGGCAGAGATTTGCGAGATCACTCACCCAATGTAATGCTGCCACATGGCGCACGGCTCCTTGCTGTCGGAGCACGCCTGGCAGCACTGCGACGGCGAGAGGTCTGCCACGCACCACTCGTTGTTGGGCTTCGGGTTCGCGCGGCCCGGCGGGCACACATTGGCGGACTGCTCGGGAAGCTGCGCGGATCAACGACGGGGGAGGGGAGGGGGGGGGGGGGGGGGGGGGGGAATGGAGATGGTGGTCCCAAAATACCAGGATCAGAAATACGGAGTAGGTATACAGTAGGTACGGCATAGGTACGTCTGATACGGAGTAGCCTTGCTATACGAACAACTATACCTACAATTTAGGAGAGATCCACATTTTTTCCAAGCTGGAAGATCGGATGAATGAGCGCAGCTGGACGATTGAGATACTTTCCCCGACAACTTGGGTACTATCGGGTTAGCGCGGCCCATGACAGAGGCACTCACCCTCCAACGGCCGAGGATGCCGGCGGTATCATTGCACTTGCCGCCCGAGCAAAAGTGCTTAAAAGGGGGGCACGCCTTCAGCGGACACGTGGGGTACTCCTGGTCGTTGTACCAGTCGATGACGGCTGCTGACGTGCCCTGCCCGTTGCCGTTGTTGTTGTTGTTGCCCGCGGGGGACAGGACGATGTTGCCGCTGGTGTCGGTGGTGTAGCTCGATTGGGAGGATGTCGCGGCGCCGTTGGCGTTGCCGGCGAGAGCCGAAGGAAGCAGGAGCCCGATGAGGAGGGCAACGCCGAGGACCTGAGTTGCAGCCATGGCGGGCGACTATCACCAATAGAGTGTATCCCCGACACGTGGTAATCAGAATTGCCTACAGATTGGAGGTAATATGAATGGAGGTGATGAGTTACGGTTGAAGTACTGATGCTGGGTGGGGGGAAAATCAGGAGTTTAACAGAGAAGCGAGCTCAGGAGGATTTGTGAGGGGTTTCCGAAATTCCCCAGGGTAAGTCAAGTGGCGCGTCGCAGGGAGAAGTCGAAGCGCTTATCAGAGCCGTGTCTTCACGCCAGGTGGAGTGATGAGATGAGATGCTCACGGTGGCTATTCTCTACGCTTCAGGTGGGACTTTCCCCCACACCTTGGATGTTGGAGGTGCGGTGAGGTGAGGTGAGGAGGATCCACGGTTCTATTGGCTGATCACTTCTGCATCGTGCCCTGTTCGGAATTTCAGAATCCGCTCCCAGCCCAACCCAACGAGATTCGATTTCCCCCAGAACTGCCGGCCACTTCACCGCCAGTCCAACCCAGCCCAGCCCTTGGATGCAGAAACTGCCAAACATCACGGTCGTTCAATTTGTCGTCACCCTGAACTCTTCATACAACCCTCGATTTTCCACAGTATTGTTTTGTGCCAAAACCAGCGTGCATTGAAAGGGGCGCCTTGGTATTCACACGATTCTGGTGAAACTCAGTAGATTCTTCAGCATTCGTCTACTCGTAAAACTTTACTTTTCCAAGGAGCTGGAGATACTGGAATCGCCTGCCTTTCAGCCTGGTTGGTCCCACTAGACGTGGGAGTGGTTTGTGCAAGGCCTGGGTCACCTAATGTACCTGGCCCAGCCCCTGCGGGTGGTTTTTCAGGTGCCTGTGTGGGTAACTCGCATCGCAGCCACGGAAGCGGAGTACGGTGCCTGCCGGACCGATGTGGTCTGTCTCTGCTCTGGGCTGGCATTGGTTGGGTTGCCAGGAGCATATCTGCCGCAGTCCAATGTGAGCAAGAAAGCAGCTTGCTCTGTTGAAGATCATGAATTGTCGATATGTCCAGTACGGTTTAATACGGTTCTTGACGTTGAGAAACGGGCCTCCCTGCTTCATCGCTTTGGACAACGGGGAACCCAAGCAAACCAGTGTAAACGAGCACGAAACGCACTAAACCGAACACCACAGCGTCAACCTTTTTACTGAGCATGGCGAGGTATTTTGCATGGCTCGATCTAGTCAAGCGGAAGTAAGCTACAGTTGCCTTTCGTCACGAGGAGGTGATAGGTGGTAGTCAAATATGAGAATATTGCTTTCCGAGTGATTGCCCCTACGGACCCCAACCTGAAACAAGGGCACGAGTTCTAGTCTTGGGTATATGTACTCACAAAATGGTATGAACCAAATAGATTCATGGACATGCAAGTGATCCAGCCCTGCACCATTCTTGGCTGACCCCCACTGCTACCAGTCTTCTAAAATGACAACCCGGCTTGGGGCCCCTATAACCACGACTCCTACCGTACTCCTACAGAGTAGTACCATGCCAAGCAGAGGCACAAAAGGCGGTGCATAATGTTTCAGAATAGACTTCACACAAGGCTGCTACATCACACGCTGAATGACTTGAGCATCTTTCTCAGCTTCGATTCGCCCGTAGCCCACTGCTTGTCCGAGGCGCTGAGCACCAGCAGCAGCACGGTGCTGCCCTTGGCCGTGGCAGACGCCAGGTTGTAGGTGCCTGACCGCGCATAGGGCGTCTCCAGGTAATACTCGTAGTACTGCGGTGTGTGAAGGAGGGGGGGGGGGTTATTGGGGTGGGAAGGTAAGTGGTTCAACTGACCAGTGCTTTTGTTGAACATAGGGGGTCTCCAGGTAGCAGCAGCCACAGTACTGCGATGTGTGAGGTAGGAAGGGGTATGGGGGTTGTTGGAAGGGAAGGGAATAAGATGAGCAGGGTGCTAAGTGCGCACAAGGCGTCTCCTGAGAAAACTCGTGGTACTGCGGTGTGTGAAGTGAAGTGGGTGGGGGTATGGGGGGATGGGGGTATGGGGGTATCGGGGTTAGAGGAGGCTATGAGGAAGGATTACATCAATGAGGGAATATGGTCGAGTAAGCATAGGCAGATCCAGGTATGGGAGCGCTCGTGGGACAGTGGTGTGTGAGGTGGGTGGGTGGGGGTATCAGAATCGGATGGGAAGGGTTAAGGTCAGCAGGATTCTAGGAGGGTGTAGGGGATCTCCAGGTAGTACTCGTAGTTCTGCAATGTGTGGGGTGGGTGGGAGGCATGGGGTGATTGAAGCCAGGGTCTCACGTACCGAGATCTGACAGCAACTGCAAAACAGTTGCTGCGTGGTTACTGGTTACCCCATTTTTAGTGAGCGGACCTCCAGGATTACAGGTGGACTGCGGAGGCCTTATTTCCATCAAAACTGTAGGCTAGTACAACAAGACGAACCCCATAAGCGAGAGTGCGTTTAGGAGAGAGTTTTAGGGGAGCCTGGTTAGAAAAAGAGCTCTTGTCGAGTTTATGCAGCCAGCTTGAGAGTTGTTATCCCACGTGCATGCTGTGCGACACACCCTTTTTGGCCCGAAACCAATTGCAAAACAACTACTTTCGGGAATTCACAGGGGTTTGGGGGCGCTTTAGGTTTGGTTACCGAGCCAAACCCGTGCCTGGCTGGTTCGATCTAGAAAAAGCGAAACCCTCTCAAATTCGCTACCCTCACAACTCCAACCGGACTCAGTGCCTCGCCAGCCAATCCCAACAACCCCACACTCCAACTGCAAAACAGTTGCTCTACATGCCACCCTGGCTTTAAGGTAAGGATAAAGGTATTGGAAGGGAAGGGTTACGATCAGCAGGGTTCTAAGAGGATGCAAAGTAGTACTAGTAGTACTGCTATGTGCGAGGTGAGTGGGGGTGTCAAGGCCTTAGCGGGCATATGGGGTTGTCTCCTGATATTAAGTACAGTACTGTGTGCGAGGTTGGAGAATTACGATAGGGAGAGAGTTGGGAGGAATTATAAGTTGCTTAAGATGCACCATAAGCACGTGAGGTGGCAGAAACAGCTTTTGAGTCGACCCAAAACGCTTTTGAGTCGACCCAAAACGCTTTTGAGTCGCTCAAAAACAGCTTTTGAGTCGACTCAAAGTCCGCTCAATAAGATGCACAAGAAGCGCGTGAGGAGGCAGGAACAGGGCTGGGAGGGAGTTGGGAGAATTGGGGTTGAGAGGAACACCCACTGTCTGGTCTCCCTCCTTGCAATGCAAACCAACCCTCTGTTCTTCCTATTACTCACGCATAGTTGGAAGAATTGGGGTTGAGAGGGACCCACTGTCTGTTCTCCGTCCTTGCAATGCAAACCAACCCTCACTTCACAAGGCCCACCTCATTTGGATCCTACCAGGGTCTTGTGGTCCTACCAGCGCCTTGTGGTCCAACCAGCTGCCCTCCCTGCAGGCCTTCCGCCTCCAACACTTCATCCGGATCATACTAATCACTTCATCCGGATCAGACAGCCCATTTCCCACCAACAGTCCAAAAACTCACCACCGGATCCCCCTCCTTGCGGACCTTCGTCTCCACCACTTCATCCGGATCATACGAGTTGCCCATCACAAACAGCCCCTTCCCCAACAACCAGAGCACCTCATCCTTCTTACAAGCAGCCTCTCTAAGGGAAAAGAAAAGGGAAAAGCACTCACTGTCTGATCCCCCTCCTTGCGGGCAGCGGACCTTCGCCCCCACCACCTCATCCGGGTCAGACGAGTCGCCCGTCACAAACGACCCTTTTCCAACCAACAGTCCATTGGTGCGCTTCATCCCCCTTACAAGCAGCCTCTGCACTCACCGTCTGATCCCCTTCCTTGCGGACATTCGTCTCCACCACTTCATCCGGATAATAAGAGTAGCCCATCACAAACGGCCTTATCTCCCACCGCCTATCCAAACACCTCATCCCCCTTACAAGCAGACTCACCGTCTGGTCACCCTCCTTGCGGACCTTCGTCTCCACCACCTCATCCGGGTCATACGAGTCGCCCGTCACAAACGGCCCGAGCGCAGCAATGATCTTCTCTGGCGTGCCGATCTCCTCTATAGGCAGCTCCAGCTTGTTGGTCAGGCGCACCATGGGCGACGCCACCACCTGCAAAGGGGGAGAAGGAAGGGGGAAGGAGAGAGGGCGACTTTGTGGAAGGTCCAGGGGGGGGAGAGAGGGAGTGACTCCGTGCAAGCTCCGGCAGCCATCCTCTGCAGGCTGCCTATCTCCTCTGTAAGCAACTCCAGCTTGTTGGTCAGCCGCACCATGGGCGACGCCACCACCTGCAAGGCCCGGGAAGGAGATAGCGTGACTCAATGAAATGCCCAAGGGAGAGGCAGTGAATCCAAGCGATGATCTTCCCAGGGGTGCCTGTCTCCTATATAGGCAGCTCCAGCTTGTTGGCCAGGCACACCATGGGCAACGCCACCACCTGTGAGGGTACAGAGGGAAGGCGGAAGGAGGGATGGGAGGGGAAGGGGAGGGGGGGGGGAGTGGGTTTGAGGAGAAAACAGCTCCAGCTTGTTGGTCAGCTGCACCATGGGCGACGCCACCACCTGCGAGGCCTGAGAAAAAGAGTGGGTGACTGAATGAAACGCCCGAGGGGGAGACGGTGATTCCAGGCAATGATCCTCTCAGGCGTGCATGTCCCCTCTATAGGCAGCTCCAGCTTGTTGGTCAGCCCCACCATGGGCGACGGCACCACCTGCGGGGCCCGAAAAGGAGAGAGGGTAACTCAATGAAATGCCCAAGGGCGAGGCAGTGATTCCAGGCAATAATCCTCGCCGGCGTTCTCCTGCAGGGTTCCCTCCAGGGGTCCTCGACGTAATGGGCATGGGCATGGGCATGGGCATGGGCACGGGCATGGGCATGGGCATGGGCATGAGCATGGGCATGGGCATGGGCATGGGCATGGGCATGGGTATGGGCATGGGCATGAGCGGCATGGGCACGGGCATGGGCACGGGCATGGGCACGGGCATGGGCATGGGCACGGGCATGGGCATGAGCATGGGCATGGGCATGAGCATAGGCATGGGCATGGGCATGGGCATGGGCATGGGCATGGGCATGAGCATGGGCGTGGGCGTGGGCATGGGCATGGGCATGGGCATGGGCATGGGCATGAGCATGGGCATGGGCATGGGCATGGGCATGGGCATGGGCATGGGCATGGGCATGGGCATGGGCATGGGCATGGGCATGGGCATGGGCATGGGCATGGGCATGAGCATGATAGGTGACGCCATTACCTGCAGGGTTCCCTCCCGGGGATCCTCGAACTTGACTTCGATCCATGGCTCTGCGCACTTGGGCTGGCAGTAGTTGCCCGACAAAATGTTGGCAATGCGGGACTGGGTCCAGGTGGGGGGGATGTTGAACGTGTAGGGGGACACGTTGCCTGAAAGGTGGGGGGAGGGGGGGGGGGGGGGGGGGGGGTTTCAAAGGCACAGTGAATGGTGGGGGGAGGGGGGAGAGTTAAAGGTTGGCTCCGACTTTACTTCGGTACACAGCTCCGCGCACTTGGGCTGGCAGTAGTTGCTGGAGAGAATATTGGCGATGCGCGACTGGGTCCAGGTAGGGGGGATGTTGAGCGTGTAGAGGGACACGTTGCCTGAAAGAGGGCGGGGGAAGGGGGGGGGGGGAGGAGCGGGAGATGCGCGTGGAGGGGGGAGGTAAGGTGTCACTTCAAGACATGGACTGGGGCAGGTGGGGGGGATGTTGAACGTGGAGGGGGACACGTTGCCTGAAACGGGGATGGGGGAGGAGGAGGGGGGGAAGGAGCAGTGTGTGTCGGGATGCCTCAACGCATTGGTTGGTTCCAGGAGGGGGAATTTTGAGCGTGAAGGAAACACGTTGCCTGGAGCCAGGGGAGGGATTGTGCGTGCAGGGACACGGTGCTGACACGATCAGGCCGCTTCGCCTCTTGAGCCATTCCGACCAGAGGCAGATTGTGCAGGGGGGTATATTTCAGGCTGGCGAATTGTTTTTCAGGCTGGTGTTCATTTTTCATGCTGATGGTTATTTCTCAGGCGGGTGAACTACTCCGTCCAGCAAGCGGAATTGGTTAGTCACGTCCTTGTTTCTCGGCTTAAGTGCTGCGGTTTCTTCGTCTTTCTCGCGGCGATTCTGAATTTCCTCAGAACGCGCGTGACGTTTCCCTTTCTTTCCAGGGTGAGAGGAAGGGCGCTTTGAATGACCGTCGAAGGGCGCTTTGAATGACCGTCGAAGGGCGCTGTGAATGACCGTCGAAGTTGCTACAAAAAAGAAGGGAAAGAAACGCCAGGGAAAATGAAGACAGCGAGCAAGAGCAGAAGGGGTGAGGGGAAGCGGGGACGCGGGGAGGAAGCCGGGGAGATGTTGAAGGTCCGGGGGGGGAACAAGTTGTGCTTACCTGCTCTAAGGGAAGGCGTGCCCGTCATTCCCGACGTGACCGCGACAAACTCGCCATCCTCGGACTTGGGGAAGGATAATGTAAAAAGAAGTCAGCGAAGTTGCACCGTGCACCACGAAGCGTGCGTACCTGCTCTAAGGGCCGACGGGGTGTCCTTCATTCCTGGGGTAAACACGACGAACTCGACACCCTCAAACTTGGAAGGAATAATCAATGATGAGGTCAGGAGCGGCATTAGCATGCTCTTACCTGCTCTAAGAGCCGGAGTGTCCTTCATTCCCGGGGTGAAAACCACAAACTCGCCGTCTTCGGATTTTGGGAGGAACGACCCGACCTGCTTCGGAACGGTTATGGCGGACGCCTCGCCGGCAGCTACCATTGGGGACAGCGCCACAGCAACCATTGACAGTAGGACGCTCCGGCGGTCCAGCTGGGATTCCACGTCACCGTCGCTGGATGCTGAGCTGGCAGCAGCGCGGACGTGATAACGTGGCGAGACTTTTACGGCGGAAGGCTGGTTATTGACGGCATGTGAGACGAAATTGTGTTGGAGTGCGAGGGAAGGGTTGGAGATGGATGAAAGGGAAGCTCGAAGAGCAGCCATGGCGAGCGATGTTAGGAATAGCAAGTAGGAGAGATGCTGGCAACAGAAGGGACACTAGCAGCACGTGCTGATTCAAGGCCTGCGAGTTTCTTGAACAGTTTTGGCTAGTTCAGGAAGGAAGCACGACCAGGTCAGTGCAACGCAGCAAGCTCCAAGCCAGAATCTCCTGCCAAAAGATAAGTCAGGTTTACTAAAGGTCGCCAAATGTGTAGATTGTGTCTAATGGTCTTGTTGCTCAATTACCTGGCTTCCATGATTCTCCAGCAACTCCCAGACCAGAAGCATCTGCCATCACCATCAGCCATGGCTGCTTTGCCTGGTCCCATGGGTATTGCCCGCTGACGAAACAACGAACGAAAATCACGAAAAAGCAAAGCTACACGAAATGCTATTCAGAAGCATCCGTCCGCTCGAGCCAATGAGCGTCTTTCATTTGCCAATAAGCGAAAAGCTATCCTGCTAGGTTAGCGAAGAAGCGAGCATTCTATAATTCCAGCATGGTGTCACGGAGTCACGTGTCACGAAAAGATTTGGTGATGGCGTGGCAAGCAAGCGACGTGGCCAGGTAGGGGCCTGAAATATGCAGTTGCTGGCGTGGCACTCACAAATAGGACTAGATTTCAGGCAATTGCCTGCTGGATAAGTGACGGGGGGGTTGCTGATTCAGCAGTGTGTTCTGTATGGAACTGCTGTTATGAATGGGACTTCCGAGTAGCGCGGAGGGCAATGGCGAAACTGTGAACGAGCGAATGACAATAAAATGAAAGAAAATACAATATATAGGAAACGTAGGGCGATCCTGGATGTAGGATCGGAAGGTTCGGAAAAAGTGTCGAAGGGCCTCGATGTGTCGAAGTGAGGTCCGGAAAGGCCCCGGAGGCTCGAACTGAAAGGTCTGGAACCCTATCGCTGGTTCGGGACTGTTCGAGTTGTACGCCCTGTAGCAAGCCTCAGTAAGGAATTACTAATTCCTTACACAGTGTATGGTGCGGTTTCAGCAGTGAAGACGCGAATGACAACGTGAAAGTTGATAAGTATGAAAATGTAGACGCCCATATTAATTATTTCCAATACAAGTACAAGGATCCTAGTAATCGGCATGATGACCAACATATTTGAGAGACAAAAGAACTGGACTCCAAACCAACCTACACCCCTTACCCACTAAGCTTTTCAATAAAACAAGCCCACCATCACTCACACCCTCACCCAAATCCAGCAGAGCAAGGTATAGTGCCTGAGTGGACTCTACAAGTCATGTGAAACAGGGGCGAAGTAGACACCTTTTCCCCTCCTGCTAGGGTCCGTGTAGACCAACATCAACCACTTGGGCGTACAAACAGGGGGAAACTAGGCTCCTTCCTTCCCCTTCAGGCTGCTCTGGCGACCTTCCACGAGGTATGCTCAGCTCAGCCCCTTCCACATCCAGAGTAGGCGCACGATGTGCAGGTTCTGCTGTTGCACAAATCCATCAGCACCCACCCGGTAGAGGTAGCCTCCGGTGTGACAGTCAGGTCATCGTGGTGGTGCACCACCACTCTCCAGAGTCGTCACCGAGACTGCACTGCTGGCTCGCCAAGGACACGTTGGCTCCGTCCCAGAAGAGTGCGTGCTGGCTGGCAAACCGGCGAGGTTGTCCAAGGTGCCAATGGGGACTTGGACTTGGTGCCAAGCACTGCTTGCGGAACCTCTGAGTGTTCGAACACGGTTGAGCAGGTTGCTCTTGCCTTAGGACGAGCAAGACGGAATTGCTGACGTCATCGTGACGGACCCGCATGTCTTGATAAATGGCGGGCCGGCCTTGCACACCCGCATGACCACAGCCCCCTGAATAACTTTCCCCAGAAAATTCGGAAACTGAAACTTGTACTGCCGCTGACAGCCCCGCCCGGCTTTCCCTTTGCTCAAACGAATATAACGTTTGTTGTTATTTTTAACCACTGTAACAAATTTGGACGTCGGAGGTGTAGGGCAGGCCTTCCCGAGAGGAATCAGCACGGCTGCGACATACGGCCCGGTTTTGCACCAGGGAGTGAATGTCGGGAATTTCGCCATGTTCTTCCGCGCCGCGTTCACACTGCTCCGCATCTGCCGCTGCGCTGAGCTGGCGCTCTGGCTCGCGTCCTTTCCTGCGGATTTTGCGCCCTGGCTTGCCGCTTTCTGCGCGGAATTCATGCTCTGACCCGCGTTCTTCGACGCTGAGCTGGCGCTTTGTCCCGTGCTGCGCTTCGCGGAATTCACGCTCTTGCTGGCGCTCTTCCCCGCTGACGTCACACTCCTCTTCATGTTCTGCTGAGCTGTCAAGAGGCCCCGGCTGACGTCACCCTGGAAGGAACTGGAGGAATCCTTTAGTCGACGGACCGAGAGGGAGGAGGAGCGGGAGAAGGGGAAGTGTCGCAAGGCGAGATCGAGGAGGGTGGAGAGCATGCGACCCGGGGCAGAGAATTCTGAGACCCCTCCTCTGACGCCTCGAGACGATTCAGCTTGAGGCGACTCGGATGCGTGGCTAGTAAGGAGAGCAGTGAGCATGCGAGCGGGAAGAGAAGTGGTTGTCGAGTTGCCGCTGCTGCTGCTATTGCTGCTGCTGCCGCCGGTGCTGTTGCTGCTCCCCCCTATCTCACCGCCGCTTGACGTGCCGTTGACTGACGTACCCCCGCTACTAGCACCCCCGATACCGCCACCCCCACCGCCTCCAGCATCCGTGGAATTGCCCCCGTTATTAGAACCCGATGTGCTGTTACCAGAAGAGGTGCCATTACCGGTGGGTGGCGGGGTGAGTGGTGGGCCAGCAGGGGGTAGCGAGGGCGGGGAGGGGGAGGGGGAGGGGGAGGGGGAGGGGGAGGGGCAGGGGGAAGGCGGAGGGCGCGGGGTTGGGGAGGGGGACGGGGTGCGCGACGGGTTGATGGACGCGTCGTAAACGAATGTCACTGTGCGCGCGTCGCCCGTCGTCTGGATCCGGACACTCGATCGCAGCAGCGTCTGCAGCACCAACCAAGGGAAGGGAGAGGATGGAGCAGAGAGGGGTAAGACACGTGCAGAGGTGGCAAGGGAGGGTCACTGACACTGTGCGCGCGTCGCCCGTCGTTTGGATCCTCACGCTCGATCGCAGCAGCGTCTGCAGCACCACGAAGGACAGAGAGGAGGGATCAGAGAGAGCGAGTTGACGAAGGAGGGGGAAATGGAGGGGGTCAGGGTAAGACACGTGGGTGAGGTCACTGTGCGCGCGTCGCCCGTCGTTCGGATCCTCACGCTCGATCGCAGCAGCGTCTGTACGGACGAACGGGGGAGAGAGAGGGGAAGCGACAGTGGAAGAGGGGGTAAGGGAGGGGAAAAAAAATGTCGCCGCGTCTAGTCATCGCAAAGCAGTTCGCTGATTTCGCAAACCATCCCTGTAGCTGCAAGCAGCCCGGGCATTCCTGTTTACATTGAAGCTCGAGGAATCTCCCGTCGTGAGATTGCGGCCACTAGCTGCCTCCAAAATCCGGTCGTTTCGTCAAACCCAACCCTTGGGCCCCAAAATCCGGTCGTTTCCATCTGCCCAAAATTTCCAGTAACCTTCGCGTACCTCGCCAACTGGTAACATGACGACGACGACCTGCGTCGCCAATTTCGTTCCCGCCGCGATGAGCCGAAACGGCGACAGTTTGCCCACCCATCCTTTCCAACCGTGGCCGTCACGATGACGGGCATCTTTGGAGCCAGCAGCATCAGTACTCGACCCCGTCGCGCCATTGCTCGCGCCGCACGGGTTACCGCTCTGCTGCTGCTTAGCCGCTGCTTTCTCCGCCATTCGCGAGCCCGTGGAAATGAGGAGGTTCGCGGTGTTGTCCCATCCGAGCCGGCGTCTAGAAGACGTTTCTAGTCGCTCCTCTAACGCCGCCGCGTTTTCCTCTAAGGGGACTTGCACTAACGAGGATTGCACGTCAAGACCGAATGAGTGGTCTGCAAACGCGGCTCGAAGGGAGGAAGTAAGGAGAAGGAGTGAGAGGGATATGACGGCTATGAGAGGCCGCCGCGAACCCATGGCTCCGCCACTGGTAGTTCTCCTAATTATACAACTGGATAGACTATCAGTTCAAGGAGCATCGTCTGTTCGCGCCCTTCTACGACGCGCCTGAGAATCACTACGCGCTTCGCCGGCTGAAATTCCTCTGGCTTTTCGCTCCAGTCAGATCGTATGGCTCTCAAAATGACCCAGTTTTCTGGGTAGGAGACTCTAAATGGTACGATGTGAGAGACCTAGGCCAAGCCAATGTGCTGGCACCGAAGGCAAGGCATGGTGGTTGGGGAAGTCTGTTGGGAGACGATAAAGAGCAGTCTCGAGCTTCAGATGTCACGCTGAAGAGGTAAGACCTGAGAGGTGCGTGCTGGGAGCTATTAGCGTTTGCGGCACGCCTTGCTCCACGGCAGAAAAACTGTAGCCGTCGAAGCCGTGAAAGCAGTTCACAGAACGGAAAAATGAGGGCGAGATGTTTGTCATGACACACAAGGAACCCACGGACCCTGGTCTGGCGGAATTGTGTGAAAATTCACGCGGCTGATGTGTGATTGCTTGCGGGTTGTAAGGAAGGAAGCCGCTGGAGGCTGATGGGTTGGTTGGGGGGCGAAAAAGGGATAAAGTGAAACTGGGTGAAGGGGGTTGTGCGAAGTGGGCATGAGTTTGGCAAAATTGGCGAAATTTGGTTGGGGGGGAGAGGGAAGATTTGGCAGGGTGAGGTGACCTTCGCAGTGGGCACTGGAAAACGCGGAGATTGGGGGTTGGGCAGATGGGGTGGTTTGGTGCTGGGGATATTCTGGTTCGTGTTCCTTTGCCGGAGGCTGGGGGAACTCTCGTCCGCTCTTCTGCCGAGGCGGTTCGTCAGCGATATCTGGACCGTCAATGAGTGCGAACCAACCGACCAAGGCTGGTGGGGTTAGGAAGAACCAGCCCTTGCTCGGCCTCAGCCAGTAGCAGTCGCCCTCGTTCGTCAACCAAACCCACGTCGTTGACCCATACACTTTGTTGCTCGGATCTGGGAGAGGCCAATCGCAATAATATGTCCGGGCAGGTTTCAAGGGTTCCCACAGACATTAGCCTCTCGCGGTCAGCCTGTGGGTACATGAAATACACCCAACACCGTGAATGCTCCAGGCTGGTGCCAAAGACGATCTCTTGTGCCCACTGACGAAAAAACATTAGGAATACAGACAATGTCGGCGGTACTGGGAGTGTAACGACGATGGCCATGAACCGTTCGATGCTGGCGATCACAGATACACCTGTGGTCTGGGGGGGAAGGAAGACCCACTGGAATTGGAAGACACCCACTGGCCTGGTCGGTTTGGCTGTTCCTTCACCCCATTTCAAACCGTGGGCAGTGTGCAGTAGCATTTCGCTTGTCGTCGCTCCACCGTCATGTCCTGAAGAAATTCGGGTCAGTTGAGAAATGGTCAGACCAAAGAGCTTCGCCGACAGCCGAACAGCTACGCCTAGCCTCCTCGCTAAAGGTCGAGGCGTCTGTTCTTTAGTCCATTTGAGGTAAAATTATGCAACACCGGCAGACTCTTTAATTGATTACTTGGGAAATTTTGTAGGAATCCGGCTAGCTATGGATGATCAACCAGTGACTTCTGCTGCGCAGCAGGATAAATAAGGACGGGTTCTTTGTCACTTATTACATATGGTATAGACATACGGAAAACGCCTAACATCATGCTGGAGTCCCAATTTCCACTGGCACATAAGACTCATTATCACAATGGCCAAGACTACTGCAATCACCAAACTCGTTTGTCATAACAACATCGCAACGGTTGTACAGGACCTCCATTCTATGTACAGTATCGAATTCCGCTACACCATCGGCATCAGGGCTCATTGCTTGTTCACTCCATTCAACTCCACCGTACTAGTCCCTCCACTTCCTCCTGCTCTCCCTTCTCCTCCTGTTCCCTGGACTCCTTTCATTTCTCCTCCTGATTCCCCTGACCCACAGACAGCTCTTGATATACGGGCACGAGCTGCAACATAAGCCTCCTCGTCTATTATCTCCTCTAATGTGGATCTCGCATACTCCTTGGTCGCAACATAACTGTCAGCTTGAGCCATCAGTGCGTCGACCGTCCATGCCGACGTGGCGGGAGTGTCTGGTTTGGGATAAGAAGAGGGACCAAGGAATGACAAATAGCGCTAGTATCAGCTTGACCCTGGCCATTTTGAAACAAACAAAAAAAGAGAAAAAATATTCGACGTAACATATATTGCAGCAGATCCTATGGAGAGCTTGTCCCATGCACGTCCATGCACATGCTACGTGGCAGCGTGTTGGTGCTCAGAGTACGTATTGAATGGATACAGGTTTCGTCACACTTGATTCCGGTTAACGAGATGTTGAAACAATCATTGCACCAGCTGCACGTACTTCAGAATCAACCAAAATTCAGGCAAGCTGCGAGAAAGAATCACAGTTACTCGTCACTGAACACAGACCATCCTCAAATTGAAGTGCTTACCTCGCATTGACATGGCTTTACGCAGTGGGACGAGACCTTAATTCCGGACGGCAATTGAAAACGGGACCTGTAAGAAGCAGAGTGCGGGAAGCAGGTAAAGCCGAATCGCTACGGAAACACAAGGAAAACTCGAAGAAAAGAGGAGGGGGAACGAGGGAGGGGGGCGGAAAACCTGCATCACGCGTCACAATTGCAGAGGAAGCTCAGATCTATGCGATCCCGAGATGAAACCTAGGCGTTGAGCTAGACTTAACGGGCTCAGATGAGAGCAAATGCGGTTGGGATAAACTAGGGCGCGACGCAATGGTCGCGTTAAGCAGGGACTGAAGACCTGTAGTTTTGCGGGGGTGGGTGCAAAAGGCCAGCTATCGGGATTCGGGAGTTGGTGGTGGTGGTAGTGGTGGTGGTGGGGCACTCTAGGTTCCGTGCCCCATTTTGGTTGGTTTGCGTCGTGGGTGGTGTGCCACAATTTGACAGCCTTCGATATCCTCGATACTGCTTAATGCTCGGATAAACATAGTTATGGATTCGGCTGGGCAATCACTACCACATCATCTGCATATACAAGAACAAAATACAATTCTTTTTATTTAAGGAATCTGGCAGCATCTGGTGGGATTGATTGGGTAGGTTCAATGCGAGTGGCAATCTCAAGGTGATGGCGCACCCAGTTGGCTGCTTTGATCCAATAATCACTTGCAATGCAACTCAATACAGGGTTTCTACAATGAGGCGGCTTATTGGTGGGCATTACGCAGAAAAACTAACCGCTATAGTAAGTTCCTACCGACAGTCAAAATTATTGTCAGAAAACCATTCAGTCAGCAACTGTTAGGGAATTCTGACAAGATGTGTGGGGGAAGGTACCCTCAGCTGGACTTTCACCATACCATACTTTCAGCTGGAAGGGTCAAACATGAAGAGGTAGTACAGAACTTCCTTGCTTTTTTACTTACTATGTCAAACATACACAGTTCGGCGAAAATGATAATTAGAATACATGATGTCACAGTACAACAGGTGCCACAGAAGACTTGGTCAGTCTTGGTCAGTTAGTTGTTAGAAGGCTAACATGGCCATCAGGCCAAACAGATGAGCCTCCAGGAGTAACCAGGCTATTAACGAATTTCTTGTAATCGAATTTCTTCCTTGCATCTGTCAAGCAACCTCCACAGCCTCACCCTCCCCCAGTTGAACCGCATCCTCCGCCGAAGGAGCTTCTTGGCAAACATCCATGTGCCCTGCGCGCCAGTCCAGCGCCTGGCACGCGCGCGAGCAGTAGCTCGGCCCCGAGCACACGGCGCAGCAGCGGAACTCGCGCACGCGCGTCTCCGGGCGCCCGCACCGCACGTTTCCGCACACCTTCAGCCCGCCCTCGGGCGCGGGGACGCCGTGCTCCGCGTTCCACTCGAGGAGGAAGCGCGAGGCGGGGGGGAGGGGGAGATCCGGAACGGCGCAGCCGAAGTCGCTCATGAGCGGGCGCAGGCAGCGGCAGAGGGACTGCAGCAGCTGCGCGGGGGAAGACACGCCGTTGGTGGACGGCGGGTTGCAGGGTGCCGCCTGGGCGGCGGACTCCGCGTGCGCGTGCTCGTGCGCGCTCACGTGCTCCTGCGCCCGCGACTCCGCCTCCACCGCAGCCGGAACTTGTCCGTCTTTAATCTGGTCCTGCTCATTAGTCCGCGCGTCGTCGGCACTCAGCTTCGGAATCACCGCCCGCACGGACTTAATCACTGCGTCGAGCTGCCGAAGCTTCTGCTCGGCCTCGGGGAAACCGCCTTCACTAGACAACACCTGGCTGGCTGCGAACTCCCGCAGATTCGCCTCCATCAGTAACCGCCTCCCCTCCGCCACGTTCTTCTTGATCCCGTACCCGTCCTGCAGGCAGTGCCCCAGCTCGCGCAGCGCCGCCACATGGCCCTGCTGCGCCGCGCTGGCGCAGAGAAGCACTCCGACGGAGAGCTTCCGCTCAGGAACCGCGCCGCCGCTGCCGTTGAAATGCACGACTGCGAGCGAATGCAGCGAGCCGGGGTGCCCGGCCTTCGCGGCTTGGACTAGGTGTTTAACTCCTTCCTTGCGGTCGCCTAGGCAGTAGAACTCGATCATCCCGAGGAGGAACGCGGCCTCGTTGTTGCGCGCGTCCGCGCACGCGCGGAGGAAGGCGCGGTAGGAGGCGGAGTAGGCGCGCGCGGGGCAGGTGAGCGCGGAGAGGGGGAGCGCGGAGAGGACTTCGGGGAACATGGAGACTTCGTGGAAGCGCTTGCAGGAGACGCGCACGCTGGCGAACTCCGCCGCCGATGCGCACTTTGACGCCATGGATGTGGCGATGAGGGAGAGAACGTCATCCTGGATAATTTAAGAGGGGAGGAGCAGAACGAGGGAGGTAGTAAAGGTTAGAATCTGTTCGAGGCGAAGGTAGAAAGAAGCAATGAAATCTGCAGTGAGAATGGAGGTGGTGAGGGCAACAGCGAGATTATTAGGAGGAACTGCTTACCGGAATCATATCCAGTGACGACGACGACTGGGCGACGGCCTTGGTCTCGGACGCGCGAAGGCGCTTCGCGGCAGCCATCTCTATGAACGCAGAAGCCGCTCTTTTGGAAGCCATTCTCGTGATATCCCTGATTCGAAATTTAACTTCGGGGTCTGGAGAAGTTAGGTTGAGATGTGAGTCAAGTTACTGGCACTCAATGGTGGCAGTGTTTGGATTGGTGGTTGTTTGGCTTCGTGGTTGACAGGGAAACAAGCTCAAGGAATGAATTAAGGGTTTGGTTTGAAAGTCGGAGGGACGATCTCCCGTTTATCATTGTTGGGCTCCGTCGAATCCGACAAACGGGTGAACAGAGGCGAAAATGATACAAGGGGGAACATGCGCGGCGGGTGCGCAAACGAAGCTGAGCCCGCAGCAGTTTGTGACGGAGCGCAGCAAATCACATGGGCATTTCTCTGTGGGCGGTGCGGTCAGGCGCCAGGGGAGGTGGACCCTGCATTTGCTTCGCGCCGCGAAATCGCTTCGATTCGCGCCTTGATAGGCCCCTGATAAACTCCCTGCCCCACCCAAACTGCAACTAGAAATGACACACCTGCGGCTAGGCTGAGGGGCGGCTGCAGCGACTGGAGCATGACATGCAGAAACCCACCTGCGCAGATCCCTGAAGAGGCACCCAGCGCCACCCAACCCGAGACCTCGAAATTCTGAGATTACACATGGAAAGGCGAAAAATACAGTACACCCAACCGGCGAAAGAAACGCTCCGCATTCCTCTGTGATTTCGGCAATTGGCGGGAATTTCCCAACTTCGGGGGGAGCGGAAATTTGCCTGTCAGGAGGTGTGCCATGGATAGTACTGTACCAGTACCCTGGAATCTATTGGCGCCACCAAGGAATCAAAAGAGGATTGGGTGCTCCTCTTGTGAAACGTAAGCTAAGCGTCAAAAGCGTATCAGTTTTCATCAATGTTAAAACCCACCACCGAATGAGCTAAGTTTAAAACCCGCTTATCCCAAATTGTTCAAACGCACTGCGTATGAACTTTGAGCTGAGGTTGCACGAATCACGCCAGAAATTCGCAAGGGTGTTTCAGCTCAAGAATTGGAAATAGTTCGTGGACCGTCAGATTTGCAAAAAAAAGAAATTTGACGGCTGCGATTATATTCCGAATTGACTGGGGGACAGTTTGGATTTTTCGCCGTCCGATGGGAATCTGCAAAACAATGGACGGACAAAAAACGCCGGGCACTTGGTGTTCCAGAATAACCTCCGCACTGAACTTGAACAGCACCCCTGAGTGACGGCAGTCACGTTACCCCCCTACACCCACGAAAACACAAATTTCAAACGCTGTGCGTTTGAAGGCTGCAGCGCCGCCCCTAATTTCGGATGCGGGTTTTAACAGCAGCGTTACACTCATTGTAGATTGTGCGTTTTCTGGGATCACGACTTTGGACGGCGGTTGCAGAACAATGAGCTTGTTTTCTGACTTGTGTGTGCCTTTGTGTGAGTGTGTGTGTGTGGTGGTGGTGATGGGTGGGGGGGGGGAGTAACCTTCCAGAGCACCCCATTACGGAAAGGAAAGGAAGGCTGAAATGGACATAAGAAACGAAATGGACATTCAATTACTGCACAGCTGGAATTCATGTACAGTAACACATATTTGTGGCCTCTACAAAGGGCGCCCCACAGCTCTATTCATCGGATTCGTGGGGATATCCCTCTCTGAGCCTCCCTCGTGGCCTAAGCTTCAGCACATTCATAACCTTTCGTGCACGCTCCCACAACTCCTTCCCTATTCTTTGCCGCTCTTGTAGCCGTTCCTTGACGTATGCATACACCGAAGGAGCAGCAAACGCGGCACCCAGTGCTATCACCACATAGAAGCAAATCCACATTACATTAACGAAGCCTCCGGTGATATTCGGATCGTCGGTGGGTTGTTGCACCCAGGGGACGCCGCCCACGTTCATGCCAAAAGCTGGGATAGAGGGAAGGGGGAGGAAGGAATGGGGCCGAATCATGTGTTTTAAGACGACTCAATCCCCCGAGAATCTTTGGGTCGTCGGTCGATTCAATTGTTGCACCCAAGGGATTCTGTCCACGTTTATGCTGAAGTGGGATAGAGGGAGGAGATGGAAGGAATAAGAGGTGACTCAGTGAAAGGCTAAGCATGTGTGTCTGGAGCCTCATACCTCCTTGTTCAACTACATACATACCTCCTGTGATTATAGAGAGTGGCAGGAAGACGATCGAGAGGAACGAGATGTAGTAGAGCTTCTTGTTGATCTGCTCCGCCTGCCATTGGTCCAGCCCCGTTTGCAGCGCAGTGATCCGAGCCGTCAGGAACCCCACATTCTCCTTGCCTCTCCTCAGCCGAGCCATAGCCCCGTCCAGCACCTCCGAGGCTACAGGTCCGGCGCACCACCGCCGAGCCACGAGCCTGTCTTTGAGCTTCGGCAGCACCACCTCCCCGTGTGCCAGGGACTGGAGCACTCTCTGTAAATCCAGGTGGAGCTTGGGGAAGGTGCGATCCTTGAGCAGGCGCAGCCGGTGGTCGGAGCCTGGGAGTGTTAGAGGGGGCAAACGGGGGGTGGGGGGGGGGGTTGTAGGGAGCATTAAAGGAAATCGGCACCCTTGTGCAGTCTGGACTGAGTTGACTCTTGAATGGACTCAGAAGTCCGGTCCGGCAGTTTTGCTAAACTGGAGCGCTCTCTGCAGATCCAGGTGTGGCTTGGGGAAGGTGCGATACTTGAGAGCAGACGCAGGCGGCGGCCGGATCCTGGGAGTGTTATATACACTGTGGGGAAAGGGCTCCATGCATTCCATCTCCACGCGTGAGGAGTCTATTTTTAAGGCGCCTCAAAAATAGACTCCTCACGCATGGTTTACTCATAGAGAGGTTTTTCGTTGCTTGGAAAATTGGGTGTAGCTTATCAAAGCGTTTGGTGCGCGCGCGGCTTCCGAAGCTGCCTACTGGCGAGGATTCGAATTCAACTCATTTTCAAGACACCCTCGAGGTTTGAAGACGTGGCCCCTTGGTCTTTACCAGGCTGGCTCTGATTGGTCCCCGGTATTTTGGGTTGACCCGGGTGAAGATTACATTGATTTTGGTTCGGTTGGATGCTTAGTTTCTACTTAGAAGCTTTGTTTTGCTCATACTTTCTCATTGACACTGATGAAGGCTCGCTAGGGTATGCCCTGTGGCCGAAACAAGTTTGTCACCTGTTTAATTGGTTGTTAAGGGAAGAGCTCCGACTACTCCGAACTCACGTTTACATAAGCACCGTTTTACTGTTTTTCCTACTTGCTAACCCGTTTCCTGACGCTGCGCTCACTGGCAGATGTCCAAGGACCTATATACACTGTGGGGAAAGGGCTCCATGCATTCCATCTCCACCACCACGTCCTCCAGGTGCAACATGTGCTTCTCAATAATGTGACGCACTCCTACATACAAAACATGATTATGTACTGAATATAAAATTGAGTGTACTGTACCTTCATCTAGGTCCCTCTCGTGTTGGTCCAGCATGCATTCCACCTCCACCACCACATCCTCCAGGTGCTCCATGTGCGTCTCAACAATGTGCTGCAGCAGCCCAAACACGGTGACAGGTATCGCACAGTCGGCGTTTTCAGGATGGCTCTTACGAAGCAACTCCTCCAGTTCCTGTAGAAAAGGGGGAGGGGGCGAAACACGGGGCGGGGAAGTGGGGAATGTGGTGCAGCAGCCCAAACACCGTCACAGGTATCGCACAGTCGGTGTTCTCTGGGTGGCTTTTTTGCAACAGCTCCTCCAACTCCTGCGGTGTGAGGGGGAGAGGTGGGAGCACAGGGGAGGCGTGGGGAGGGGAATGTGGTACAGCAGCCCAAACACCGTCACAGGTATCGCACAGTCGGCGTTCTCTGGGTGGCTTTTTCGCAACAGCTCCTCCAACTCCTGCGGTGTGAGGGGGAGAGGTGGGAGCACAGGGGAGGCGTGGGGAGGGGAATGTGGTACAGCAGCCCAAACACCGTCACAGGTATCGCACAGTCGGCGTTCTCTGGGTGGCTTTTCGCAACAGCTCCTCCAACTCCTGCGGTGTAGGGGGTACAGGGCGGGGTACAGGGCGGGGTACAGGGCGGGGTACAGGGCGGGGTACAGGGCGGGGGAGCACCACTTGGTGGTGGTTTTAGCCATACGTGGCAGCGGGCTTGTTAGCCATACCCTACGATTTCAAGAGACTTTTTCTGAGCAAGAATTTTTCTCAAAACGACAAAACTGTTCTACAAGCCCGCTGCCACGTATGGCTAAAACCACCACCAAGTGGTGCTCTCTCGGGTACAGGGCGGGGCACAGGGCGGGGCACAGGGCGGGGTACGGGGGAGAAACGGGGAGGGGAAATGTGCTGCAGCAGCCCCAACACCGTCACGGGTGTGGCACAGTCGGGGCTTGTAGGATGGCTCTTTCCAGGAGGAGGGGAGAGGAAGATAGAGAAAGGGAGAAAGAGGAGGGAGAGAAATTGCACTCACCGCATCATCCACGTCGATGGTGTGTGAATCCGCCCCCTCTTCCCTCACCTCCCTCCTCCTCGGCGTTATCGCTTCCAACACCTTCCCAACTCGCGCCAAAACACCACCTCCTCCCCCCCCTACCCCTCCTCCTCCTCCTCCTCCTCCTCCTCCTCCTCTTCCTCCTCCTCCTCCTCCTCCTCTTCCTCCTCCTCCTCTCCCCCCACCACTCCGCTTCCCCCCAGCACCAGTCGCCTCCCCAGCAGAGCCTCCGCCCTCCCCCCACCTGCTTCCTCCCGCCCCCCCATCACTGGCGTACCCTTGGCTGCTCACCCCGCAGCTTCTGCTGCCCAATCCCTGCAGCAGCCCCCCCCTGTAAGCTTCCGTGCCGCAGTGACCCAAATCCCCCTCTACGCTTTCACATACTTCGATTTCTACGCTAGGCGGTCTATAGGCTGAGCTGCTGCAGATAGGCGGCCTTAAAACGGGGTCCAAATCGCCCCCAGAGGCCGAAACAGGGTCCTTGCGAGCAGCAATGGCTGCCTTTTCTGTTCCCGCTCCTATCCCTCCAGCTCTGGCTGCTCCTGCTGCAATTGTCCCCTCTGCTGCCGCTGCTGCTGTTGCTGCTAGCGCTGCTGCTTCTAACGAGGATGTGGCAGAAGCTATTCTGACTTTGATTGATCGTGGCGTGTCAGACGGGCTGCCTGGCGTGCTTGTATGCGGCGTGCCTGTAGCGCTGGTGCCAATAGTGAAAACGGAAAGCGGAGCGATTTCTGATTCGCCCTCGTTTTCTCCCCGAAATGACGCATTCGGCGACCGTTTTCTCAAACCAGGGCCTCGGTCTGTCGCTCCTAGGCTACTGCTAGACCCAACACCACAAACAGGACCAGAACTAACAGTAGAAACAACAGTAGCACCAGCAGCAGCGCCAGCAGTACTAGCACCAGCAGCAGCAGCACCAGCACCCGCACCAGTAGCACCTGTGGCTGCGGCCGCGGCAGCATCCTCACGTAATCTGGCCACCAGCCCTGCAAACCCTAATCCGATCTCCGTTCCTAAGTGCCCTTCGGGTCCCCTCTGTAACTCTAAACGCGGCACGGGACCCAACGCAACGCTCACTATTCCGAACGGAGTGACCCGCGCCGCGATCTTAAACGTGTACGGGCTGTCCATAGGCCCGGGGGAGTTGATCCGCACGAACAGCGCGCCGCCGAGCGTGCCGCAATACGGACCGTTGGATAGGAGCGTCGTGATCTCGTGCAGCTGGAGCGGAGGGTGCAGATGCGTGATGAGCTGGCGAGCCGCGGCGGAGAGCGACGGGCAGGATCGCGGGATCTCCACGTGGAACCACGAGAACTCGCCACCTGGCTGCGTCAGGAACCCCGCGGAAGCGGCGCCGGCTGTAGCGGCGGGAGGTACACCCGCGGATGCGGCACCCGCGGACATGACACCCGCGGGGTCTGCTACAGCCGCGCCCGAGACGGGGAGGGCTGCATGGGGGAGATAAAATCCTGTAGCGGCATCCAACGAGCCTCCTGAGTCTGTTCGGCCGGGGATAGGACGGAAAGGATTTTCCGCCGCCTGCGGCGAGCGCACAGCTTCGGCTTCCCGCGGTGACGTCTGAAATTGCACCTGCTGCTGCTGCTGCTGCTGCTGCTGCTTCTGCTGCTGAAGCACTTGTTGTAGATGGGACGGGGTATGCTGGCCCGGGAGCCGTCCCTTCTCGAAATTCTTCAGGTGGTCCCAATCCAACGGCTCAAACGAGCCCACGCCGTCGAAACGAAACGCCATCCGTCGGATTCGCGACTTTTCTCGCTCCCGCGTGGATCTGGAGCGGGTGAAATTGCCGAAGCGCTTCGGGCTGCGAGGCGACGAGGTCGCAAAGAGAGGGCGCGTATCGGATCCGCGATCTGACCAATCCATAATGCTGCCGACGCTCAGAGTCGGATTCTGAGAGAGAACGTACAGACGTGAGTGGTCCCCGATCTGCGGATTCTCGAGTCGCCTCAAAGTTGACTTTTGATTCGACTCAAAGTCACCTCGGATTCTCGTTTCGCCTCAAAGTTCAGCTGCGAAGAGAGGACGCGTATTGGATCCGCGATCCGACCAATCCATGATGCTGACACTGGGCCGAGAATCGGTATCCTGGAGATTAAGTTAAGACGCACCGCGACAAAACGTATAACAACAAATGAAAATGCGCACAAGAGTACACAAATGCTGTATGGCTAGCTCTCTTATTTCTCCTCATAGACTGTTGCATGAACCCGTTGCGTACCTCCTCTCACCCCTGCGTCATTGATCCTGAGAACCAGTCGTGAAATCCTTTGCCCGTCAACTCCTGGGTTTCCGTCCCTACATTCGCAAGAGCTAGATTTCTGTCCCTAAGGGGTGGTCCGAAGTAAAACAAATTGTTTCACAGGAAGAAAAAGTACGGTATTTGTAAATGTTCAGACGGTCAAAGAGCATTCAGTCTCGGTTCTGCAACGTCCCGAAGCCTTACACTCTATTTCGGACACCCCCTAATGTTGTCGTATGATTTCGTGTTCGCAGCAGAGCTTCAGATTGGTTTTTTAGCCACTCGTTGGATCCGGGTTCCCTACCAAGACCACCCGTTAAGTCCGTTTTTGGCCAAAGTCGTAAACGTCAAACTCCGATTTCCGGCCAAAATCCCTCGAAACATTCGCTTACAGCCCGTTTTCGAACCAGAATCGGCCCGTTAACCAACGGGTTTAGAGAGAGCCAGGCCCGTTAAAAAGGGAGTTCCGGGTCGAAGAGACCAGTTAAAACATAGAAATCCGGGGGGCTACCCGTAAAAAATAGGCCCCAGTTCATAGATTCTCTCACCACGACTTGCCTCCAGCTTTCAGTTTTCTACACTTGGTCGGTGCTTTCCCGCAAAATATTCCAACAAATCAGACGCTTCCTCGAGCTTGAGGGCTTTTTTATCTGACTGCTTCCGTTACTTCTGTTTACAAAAGCTTCTGACACAAGCACAGAACTGTGCAGTTCAAACTAGACTCCTCATAATGCGGTGCAAACGAGTTACTATCATAATGTGTAGGTAAGGCACCAAGAGATAGCTACATTATGCATACAACAATGATCACTATGAGGTCAATAAAAACCTACCAGCTAGAAAGACGCCACTAGGTGAGATTTCTAGCCTAGTGAGGAACGTCCCGGGCCCTAAATCAATCTCCTCTACTTCTTCCACACAAGAGCTGGGCTTGAAAATCGCACCCTCCCTCTCTCGTCCATGCTTCCCTTCCAGCCCTTTACCCCTTCTTTGCCCCCTCTGGTGACCATTCCCACCTCTTATCGTACCTTGCTTTTCACCGATATTGTCTCTTGCACGTGGAACCAAGCACTCGCTCCCAAATTTGCTCACCGAGAGCCGTCTTCCATCCTTGCCTATCGTCAATCTCACTGCAACTGGCAACAGGCCCATAGATAACTGCTCCTCTTCTGCTGCTTCTGGTATAGTGCCCTCCTCTGTAGTCACGTCTATATCAGCACTTCTCTCCAAGACTCCTCTGTTTGAAAGACCAGCATCTGAACTTATCGGCAGCACCTTGTTTGACTGTACAGATGTCACTGTTCTGTTATTCAAAGATTCAGCCTCCACCGCTCCACCAACAGCAGGAGTTCCCAAGGCTTCCCTACACGCAGCTCCAAGCAAACGCTTGGAGAGGGACAGCCAACCAACCCCAGCAACAGCCAACCCCTCTTGGTCCAACTGCTGCTGCTGCGGCTGCTGCTGCTGCTGCTGGTGCTGCTGCTGCTCCTTTGCTTGCCCCTGGGTCCGAAACCAATGGGCCTCCATTGGCCACTGGCCGCGCGGAGGGAGCAGGGAGATGGGAGGCGTTGAGGGGGAGGAGGGAGTTTCAAGGACTTGAAATACCGCGATCTGACCTTGCTGCTGCTGGTTCTCCTGCTGCTGCTGCTGCTTCTCCTGCTGCTGTCTTTGCCTTCTTCCCAGGCCCACACTGGGCGAAGAGGGGAAGAGCACAGAGCTGGCAAAGAAAGGTGTGCCGGGCCGTCGCCAGCCGTATGGGGACAGAGCCTTGGCTGGCGATGCAGGGGGATTGGGAGCAGGGCCTTGGTTGGCAGGATTTTGTGTGGGGAGGTCTGGAGGTTGCTGAGCGGAGTGGGGGATGCGCAGGGGGCGGAGACGGCGGGCGAGAGAGTGGGAAAGGCGGGGGGAGCGGGGGGAGGGAGGGGGGGAGGAGGAGGAGTGAGTGGGGGAGAATGACGGGAGGGTAGAGTGTAGTGATGGGGAGGGTAGTGAGGGGGAAGGAGGAGTGTGTGCGGTGCTCATGGGTGAGGGGGAGTGAGAAGGAAACAGAGTGGGGGGCTTCAGGAGGAGCAGCCGCCCAACAGAATCCAGCACTGGCTGAGGGAACCTGAACTGGGCGGCAGAGGATCTCAACACTGACAGCGGGTTGGGCAGCAGGCCGGGCGGCAGCGAGGGAATGGGGAGAGGGAAGTCCAGGGAGGGTTGGGAGGAGGAAGTGGGGGAGGAGGAGAAAGGGGAGGAGTAACGGACGGAGAGGCGGGGGGAGGAGAATTGGGGGGAGTAGTAAGGTGAGTGTTGGGGGGAGCTGAGGCCGAACCGGGGGGAGGGGGTGAATCGGGGAGAGGGGGTGAAGCGGGGGGAGCGGGAATAAGTGCGGGCATAGCTGGGGAAAGGGGAAGCATGGGAAGGAGAGGAGTGATTGAAGGAAGGGGAAGGAGGGAAGGGGGGGAGGGTAGGTGAGCCGGTACGGATATTGGGCGGCAGACTGGAGATCATATCCTGATTTGGATTCTGATTCTGATTCTGGTTCTGATTCTGGTTGTGGCTGAATCCCGGATCCTGATTGGTTACGGCAAACTCTAGGAATCCATCTCCAAGGGACACTTGGAGGGCTGGGATTGGCTGGCTGTCGGCCAATGAGCAGACGGAGCGGAGCAGGGGGAAGAGGAGAGGGCTCCTGAGACTGCAGGAGGGGGGAAGGGGAGTGGGGGGAAGAGGGGGAGTGAGAGGGGAGGAGGGGGAGTGGGAGAGTGGGCGATGGGGGCAGCAAGGTGCGTAAGTAGACTAGAAAAAAATATATAAGAGGAGAAAAAAACAACATCGACGTGCCGACAAGCACTCTCTACAGAACGGATCTCTGGTTGCTCATGCTACACAAGCACTTGTTAAAAGGAAAATCGGCTTCCTGCTTATCCCAGTTTGGAAACCGACACGCTCATGGGCAGAAAGACCCATTCTTTCCAAGTCAGCTGAAAGTAAACACGCATGCTTCACACCAATGCGCACGTATTGCTTCCAATGCACACCTCCTGTTGAAGTCGGAAGCGCTCATCGAGAGGAAGGCCCGCACGGGGAAGTGCGTATCACTGAAACTGGAGGATTGGGGGTGGGGGGGGGAGGAAAGGGGATAGGATGGGTAGAAATAAAAGACCTGTAGCGGCGTAGGTAGCTGAACAGCTTCTGTTAAAGTCAGAAGCACTCATCGAGAGAAAGGCCCGCACCACACGGGGAAGTGCGAGTCCCTGAAACTGGAGGATTTGGAGAGAGTGGGGAAGGGGAAGGGGGAGGGGGGGGGGGGGGGGGAAGGGGAGACGGCGCGAGTGATGTGCGATGGCGGGAAGCAGGTGGCCGGGTCATGGAGAGAAACGACGCCCGCAGTGGGCAGTGAGTGCCAGCTGAAAACGAAGGACGGGGGGGAAAGGGAGGGGCGGTATGCAAGGGGAGGGGAGGGGAAGGGAGGGAGGGAAGGGGATGTTGCGGGGAGTAGCGATGGCCCATATTGTGGTATGAGAAACCAGGACATTCATACGTGATTTTGAGTCGACTCAAAAATCACCTTAAACCGGGACATTCATACGTGATTTTGAGTCGACTCAAAAATCACCTTAAACCGGGACATTCATACGTGATTTTGAGTCGACTCAAAAATCACCTTAAACCGGGACATTCATAGGTGATTTTGAGTCGACTCAAAAATCACCTTAAACCGGGACATTCATAGGTGATTTTGAGTCGACTCAAAAATCACCTTAAACCAGGACATTCATAGGTGATTTTGAGTCGACTCAAAAATCACCTTAAACCAGGACATTCATAGGACAAATATGACTGCCCCCGGCAAGTGAGTGCTGCTGAAACAGAAGGAGGGGAGGGGAGGGGAGGGGGAGAGGAGGGGCTGGTTCTCTCAACTAAGAGTGAAGCCTCATGTCATGCCATGTGCGTTCTGTCCCCCCCATACCTCTTCCCTTACCTGGGAGTGATGTGATCCCCCAACTTTTCCCGAATCGCACAGAGGATGCAGCCAAGTCCACGTCAGACACTTTTCATTTGCACTGTGCCGTAGGTTAGGCCTGATTCGCGACTCGTGACTCCCAATAGAGCCGAGTATCTTACCTGGGAGTAACCCCCCAGCCTTTCCCGAATCGCACGGAGGATGCAGCCAAGTCCACGTCAGACACCGCCAGGCCCTTGTACTGTGCCGCCCGGGCCGACACCGACACGCCGCTCAGCCGCCCGGATAGCAGGTCTTGTCCTGTAGCGGCCACCTTGATTCTAAGATCGCCACACGAGTCAAGCTGTTAGGTATGGGAAGGGAGGATTATTAACGGCTGTTATTATCGGAAAAACAAAACTTGATTCACAAGTCTATATGAGTTACGCTCGCGCCAGGTGACTTTTGAGTCGACTCGAAAGTCACCTCGTTACAATGTCACCCAACACTTTTGAGTCGACTCGAAAGTCGCTCGCGCCAGGGTTGAGACAATAGGAGCAGGGGAGAAGAGGAGAGACAGGGGAAGGATGCTTCCTGAGAGGTCACGTGAGATTCCACCTGAGATGTTACGTGAGAAAACAAGCTAAGAGCAAGAATGCTGACCTGTGATCTTAAAAAGGTGTGAACAGCCTGAGTCAGCAGGGCTGACACCAACCCAGAAGCTTCCTCATTCCCCTCCTCCTGAGCCTCCTCAGGTGTTACTGTTACCACACCACCACCACCACCACCACTCCTATTCTTGCGGCTGCTGCTGCTGCTGCTGCCCTTGCCGTTGCTGTTATTCTTGCTGCTGCTTCCATTCCTGCTTCTACTGCCAGTGCTGTTGTTGCTGCCGCTGCCTCTGTTGAGAGCACCTGAAGCCGCCCTACTCCCCACCTGCGCCCCGAACTGCTCCTCCGCGATTTGCAGCGCCGCCCAGGGGTCAAGCAGGGGAAGCGGGGGATGGGGGGAGCTGGGGGGGAGGGCGGGGGACTGATGGGGGGAATGCTGCGCCTGGGGAGGGGGTCCACCCGCGCTGATAAGGGGAGGGCGACCAGGGGATTGGGTTTGCCTGGAATCCAGCCGCTCAGGTGTTTCTGCAACAGAGCCAGGTGGGTTCAACAGAGAGGCCACCTGACGCCAGAGCGCCTGCGGTTGGGACAGGAGTCTCGACTCCCGTGGGGGCAACGCGCTATCCTCGTTATAAGCTTCCTCCCTATATGCTTCTCCGTCTTGCTGATTGGCCCATCCTAAAACACCGCTTCCCAACCCCTTCAAAATGCCGCCCATAACGCCAATGCCAGGCGCATCAGGGGGAGGTACATCTGGGGCAGGTATACCTAACAGCCACCCGTCACCTCTCCATAGCACCTCATCTTTCCCCCCGTCCCCTCTAGCTGCCCCCACTCCCCCTAACACTTCCCCCGCTTCCCCCTCTCCTTCCCCTCGTCCGCCACCCGTCTCCCCCCATCCGCTCGTCATCGCCCATCTCGCCGCGACAGGCGCCTCCCTCCCGAGCCTCTGCCCCCACACCCGAACCTGGCTCCGAACCTGGTGCCGCTGCCGAGCCTGCACCAGCTTGTTCCGAGCCACTTCCCACAGCCCTAGCACCACCATTACCGCCCCTAAGCGCGCCGAGTTAACCCTCTCTTCCCCGCGTTTCACGGCGGCTCGCACCGCCTTTTGTGCCTCTAACGGGCCCTGGAGAACGGTGCGCTTTAGCGCTTCTAACGGGGCGCGGAAGCGCGTCACGACGGGGAAGGGGGAAAGCTGGCGGAAGCGCTGGTGCAATCCGCTCTGCAGTCCGCGGGAACGAGCGACGGCGTTTTGGCGGGAAATCGCCGGGGGCGCGGTGGCGTGGCCTGGGAAGGTCCACGTGGCGTCGCGTTGTCCCCCCTGCCCAATCCAACCCCGCGGCCGCGGCGGCAGTTGCTGACGTGGCAAGGACTGCTGCTGTTTTTGCTGCTGCTGCTGCTGCTGCTGCCGAGCCTTTGCCTCGGCATGGTGGACAATCTGCCGAACCTCAGCGTCGACCCGAGCCTGACCCTGAACGTCTAACCTGGCGATGCTACGAGCTCCTGAGATGTCTGCGCCTTTGGAAGGAGCAGCGGAAGCGGAACGGCCCGCGGAAACCCCCGCGGAATTTCCGCCGCCCTGCTGTGTGCGCTGCCCAGAATTTCCCCGGCCCCCATCCCCCCGCTCCGCAGGAAGCCGCCTTTCCCCCTGCTGACGTGGCCGCGCCCTGCTGCGCTCTCTTGCCGCCCAGGCGGCTGCGCGAGCCGCGCGGTGGGAGGGCGTCTCGACCGGCGGCACGTAATGATGGCGAAGGTGACGCTGACGTGGAGGTTCTGGCTGCTGACGTGGCTGCTGGTGGTCGCGTTGGGCCAGCGGCCCATGGTTTGCGGCGGCATTCCCGCTGCTGCTGCTGCTGGTAGTGCTGCTGCTTCCGCTGCCGTCTTGACTTCTAGGGTTTCCGCCATTCGCGGCGCTTCGAGGGCTGTTCAAGAACCTAGGGGTTGCCGCGCTGCCCCCGCGCCAGCGGGGGGGGTGGCGGGGGCTTCCGCCGAACCTCCCCCGGCCCTGCGCGTGCGTCGGCGAGCGGGGATTGCGCGCGCCTTGGCGGGCCCACGAGGGTATTTGCGCCGATTGCGGTTCCATTTGCCGCGATTTATGTCGCTTGGCTTATCGACACGTCCCCTTAGACCGTTGCAGCGAGTCTGCTAATAACGGGGGGGAGTCATCCTGCCCAAGATCCCGCACGGAAAACAACAATGACTCAAACGAAATGTCATCCGTTCGCCGTTGCGGCAGTCAGCCGCCTGCCCGGCTGTCACGCTGTCACGCTGTCCCCATTCTTCCGGTTTTCGCTGGATATTACGAGCCAGTGGAAATATAAATCAGGCCGCCTGGCCCTGGCTGTCCGGCTGACTTTAGACTGTCGAACGCGCGGCGGGGATTGCGCAACACAGCAGATACAGTAGTGACGTGAGACTCCAAACTACTGCAAACAAGTGGCACAGTCGAGGGAGAAGCAAGGGGACGAAATTGAAGTGCGAGTTGGGAGGGATGAGAAGGGGGGAGAAGAGAGGAGGGAGGAAGTGTTGGATGAGAACTTGAGATCAGAGCACGGCAGAGTACGGCAGAACTTGAGGGCGTGTCTAGCGCGTTCGTGTGCTATTCAGCTAGCATAACAAGTACAGAATAAAGGTGTGGTTACCCGAAATTCCGTGTCTTTTAGTACCCGGTCGGAAAGTGCGCATTCTTAGCGGATACTCTCAAAGCGTACCAGCAGTCTCGTGTTGCGCACATTTCGAAAGCGGCTGGAATTCGTGCCCTGAATAAACTCGCCAAAAACGACAAATCCTGGCCGGCGAACGGTGAACAAATCCCTTCGTCGTATTCGAGCAGATTCGTCAATGCCGTGGAAAAACCAGCGAGTCCCCATTTTCCAGGCTGGTAATACCAGAACTCTGTTCATTTCGTCAAGCTCTTTTGTTTTTTCGCAGTGCAGAGCACTTGTCGTGTCAAAGGCTGGACACAAGCCGAGCCAAGCATGCTCTCTGCAGTCGAAAGGTGAGCCTCGCGAGAGCTACATTCCCGTAACAGTTTTTCGAACATGTACAGAATGAACGCGTGTTAGGCCGAAATGAACGCGCTGGACACGCCCTGAGATGAGGGCAAACAATCAATGCTGTTGCCACAAGTCGCAACTGCAAGGCGCGCAATCTTGGCTGGTGGTGGTTGGGGGCTGTATCGAGTATTAATCGATGGTCGGGGTACTCGGGTAGTTTGGAGGGACGGATTGAACGGACAGACGCGATGGACGCGAAATGCGCTCAACCCAAAGCGCGGGACGTGCAGCGAATAGGGTTCGTTGGATTCGCAGCAGTATCCGCGCCTCGAAGTGGGCCGACTGACAGGTTCATCCGAAACGCTTGCGACCTTCCAATATGATTGGCGAAAATCAAGCGACGTAGATTACTCAGGTGAGGTGGACTGCCTGACTAATAACGAGCCAATCGAATGAGAGGAAGCCAGAAGCCAGAACGGCACAATCGAGCACGGATCACATACATTCGCGTTATGGACAAAACAGAACAGTGGGATAAAGCCATCTGCTATGAGAGGGAAAGAAGATGTGGAGATTGAAGTGCATGGTGTAAGAACATTGAAGTCACAAATTTGACTCAACCACGCTTCCTCTTACCATGGCGACGACCTCCTTTACCCTTCTTTCCTTTTGAAGCCTGCTCACTATCGTTTTTATTTGTTTTTGCACTACCACTGCCCCCTGCATTTTCGGCTCCACCCCCTGTGCTTGCCGCAACAGTTTTCACCGCCAATCGCGGCTTTGTGTCGAGCATGGAGCGCGGAAGAATGGAGACAGCGCAGAACGGAGGGCCCCTCGCCAAAGGAACAATCTCAACCACAATTGCGAACTGTCACAATAGAAAGGTTGATGGTGATGGATGGGGCCCAATGAGCTTACGCAAAGCAGGCAGTGCAGAACACGTAGACAAGCATTGGTTAATTGACCAATATGTGACGAAGAACTCTTAAGCTCGAGGAGGAAAGCCATAAAGAGACACTTGGCTAAGCGAGACACTCAACAAATAGCAAAATTGCCAGAACCTCAAGGGAGAAACAGTTCGACACTTACCTCTGGGTCAGTCAGGTTAGCCACAGCACCTCGTTTCCCAGCAGCTTCCTTCACAGCATCAGCCACTGTCCTAATCACCACATCACGACTCAACACCAGATCACCCTCCCCCACCTTCCCCTCCTCGCCCTCTTCACCCCCATTTCCTTGCACCTTCCCCAGGCTCCCCTCGTCCCCTTCCCGCCTCCCAGCCTCCTTCTCTTCCTTCTTTGCAGATTCCTTGGCTGTAGCAGCTACATCCTCTGCTCCTCGCTTCTTGAACGCCACTGCAAACTGGAGGAAGGGGAGGGCAAACGATGGGTTAGCTCCGTTTGGACTTTCTTAGCTGTTTCCTTGGTTGTAGCAGCTACATCCTCTGCTTCTCGTTCCTTGAAAGCCACTGCAAACTGGAGGACAGAAGGACCTAAGGTTTTATAAGCTCCTTATCCTAGCCATTTAGTTAGCTGCGGTAACTATACCTTCTGCTCCTCTCGTCGTGAAGGCTACTGAGAACTGAGGGAAAGGACGGCCACAGGGTTGCTTAGCTCCTTAAAATTGGTGACTAACAGAAAGTTCTGCACAGAAAACTCTTAGCCCGCTGCCCCTTAAATCCACACGGTACCTGCACAGGAGGAAGATGCGGCTGTGTGTCTGCCAGCTCTGTTGCTGTTTCAGAACCGTTCCTGTGTGCCTCCACTGATCCTGCTGCTGCTGTTGTTGCTGCTGCTGGTTGTGGTGTTGTTGTCGTTGCTGCGACTGCTGTTGCTGGAGTTGCTGCAAAGTGATTGGCCAGCAGTCGCTGCACGGCGGCTGACAGGTGGCGCTTCGTGGTTGGGCATGTGGCCTGCACGGGGCAGATGCGCTGGCACCACCTGGTGGGAGCAACAACAGGGGAGAAAACAGTAAGAAAGAGATCAAAGGGAAGCAGTAAGGGAGGGAAAGGAGCACAGCGGTTACCACCACCTAAGAACAGGGCACATGAGCTGGCACCACCTGATGAGGGAACCACAGGGGGAGATAAGGAAGATGGGGAGGAGGGGGGATAGAATGTGTGTGCACGTGTGTGTGTGAATCAGAGAAACGGATAGGAGGGGTTAGAGGGTGAGCGGGTGGTGGGGAAAGGAGGGGGTGGGGGAAATAAATCACCGGCTTCTGTCTCAACGTGAACATGGCAGAAACGAATGATGGTAACGGCAAGGCAACGGTGAGTGATGGATTCATGACTCAACGGGAAAGGAGCTTACTTGAGGCCCGTTCTCTTCTTCTCTTGGATGTCTTTCAGGATCTGCCCGACCACATCCACAGGACATGGCACTTTGCTGCCCGGAACACATTTTTCCTTCTCGGGCAGCGCCAGAAAAGTTATCCCCATGCTGCCCAGCTTGACCGCCCCTAGCCCGGCTTTAAGCGCATCTTCAGCCGCACTCGCATCCTCCTCTGTCTTTGAAACCTTCTTTCCACTATCCTCCTCCTTCTCGGTAGCAACCTTCGGTGCAATACCTTCCTCCCCCCCGACCTGCGTAAATCTCCTTCCACTATCTTCCCCTTGTGCTTCCACTCCCCCCACCTTTTCCCCCTCCGCTTCCCCCACCTTTCCCCCCTCCGCTTCCCCCACCTTTCCCCCCTCCGCTTCCCCCACCTTTTCCCTCAACGCTGCCCCCTCCCCTCCAGTCTCTGTTCTCTGTCGCTTTGCACTAGTCTCTCCCTCCTCTTCTCCTTTACTATCCCCTCCAGAATCTCCTTTCCCTTTCCCCTCGTCTGCTACATCCGCTGCTACAACCGCTCCCCCTACCCCCCCGCCTAGTCCCTCCTTCTCTCCCCCCAGCGCCTCTGCTTCACTTCCCTCGGCTCTGGCGCACAGAGCAGGCAGGTACTGGGTTGGGGAACAGGAGGGACGGCGGATGGGAGACAGGGGGCGGTTCAGCGCACTGGGTTGGGGGAGGAGGGACAGTGCAGTGGGGCACAGTGCCCCTCGGCTCTGGCGCACAGTGCAGGCAGGTACTGGGTTGGGGGAGGGGATGGGTGGGGATGCGTGGGGATGGGAGATAGGGGGCGGGTCAGCGGAGGGGGGAGATAAGGCGAGGAGCACTGCACTGCACTGCACTGCACTGCACTAGTCCCTTAAATCCCCTCGGCTCTGAGGCACAGTGCAGGTACTGGGTTGGGGGAGGGCGGGATGGTGGATGAGAGAGGGGGGGAGATAAGGACAGGAGCGACGCACTCGTCCCTGTCATTCCCTCAACACTTGCGCACAGCGCAGGCGCACAGCGCAGGCGCACAGCGCAGGCGCCCAGCGCAGGCGCCCAGCGCAGGGGCGCAGCGCAGGGGCGCAGCGCAGGCGCACAGCGGCCCAGGGGGGAGGGGTGAGGGGTGAGGAGTGAGGGGTGAGGAGTGAGGAGTGAGGGGGGAGGGGGGGAATAGCAGCCAAGAGAACGGAAAGAAGCACAAAATGAGCAACATCAGTCTTAGAAGGAGCATGGCCCACGCAAGTTTCAGTTTTGATGGCTGTAAAGCCTAGATTAGAGCTCGTGACGAGCAACAACAGCCTATTTACTACAATAACAGTGGGTAGAAATTTTGAGTCGACTCAAAATACACCTAGTTACTGCAATAACAGTGGGTAGAGCACAGTGGCAGCAGCAGCGCACCTTAGGGAGGATGGAGAGTGCTTCTGACGTGGCACTCTTCTCTCGGCCTGAACACGCGCCATGCATGCAGCAGACACACGCAATGCATGCAGCAGACACGTCGAGCAAGCAGACACGTCGAGCAAGCAGACACGTCGAGCAAGGGTTCAGGGTTTCGGGTTAAAGGTTTGGGGTTGGAGAAGGCAATCCCAGCAATGTACCGGGAGGAATCACAAGACACGGAGCACAAAGCGCAACTATGAGGCGCCTCAAAAGTCAACTTTTGAGGTTAATCAAAGTCATGGAGGAAGCACCAGACACGGAGCACAAAGCGCAATTTGCGTGATTCACATTGCAACTCTCAGCTTCACTAGCCGCGTTGTGGGTTGCGAGCTTCACTGGACAGGTGTTCACTGGATAGGTGTTCACTGGACAGGTGTTCACTAGACAGGTGTTCACTAGCCACATCTGAACACCTTTTTTTCAGGCGCCTCAAAACGGGTCACGTTCGAGCACATACGGAAAGCGCAGGTGATCAGGAATCCCTGAATCCCGCCGCCATTTCCGGATCGGAGCAGCTCTTCCCGCCGGTAATCGAATCGCGCCATTTTCAGCAGCCCCGCGTGCTGATCCCACGGCGCCACCTCCCAGTCGCTCTTAACCGCCGGCTCCTGATGTACATCCCCACCACTCTTAACCGCTGGTTCGCGATGTAGTTCAGAAACTAGTGCAGATTCGCTCTTAATCTCTTCTGCAGGAACTAATACAGAGCCGCTCTTTACCGCGGATGGAGGAAATGCTAACTTTCCTCCATCTCCCAGCTTTTGTGGCGATCCCAGTGATTCCTGGGGACGCGAGGGCTTCTCCGTAGCTTCATCCAAGGTTTTTTCCGCGACGGCCGGCGCTGCGGACTCCATCGAAGTCGCTAGGTAAATCGCTTTAGCCACTAGAGCTAAGGAGGGCCAGCGCTGCGACGAAATGAGGACGATTGGGAGGCCAAGGTGGTGATGGCAATCCCAAGTGGGCTGGGTTGGAGGCGAGGGGAAAAAAAGGGGTAAATACGCGATTGTAGATTATAGCTCTATGCTTTACATTAGGAACCAAAAAAGGCCAAAATACATTCTCCTTTGAGAGAAACAGCCAACATTCAAGTTCTACTTGGTCGTTACTAGCATAACATAGCCTAGTCTACTACTACAATCCATGCGCAACAGCTACCCTATCTCCGTCGTGTCCATACTACAGTAAATGAGCTTCTATACTAACATTGGTAACGGCCTATGCATCAAATGGTTAGACTATAAGCTTGGTAGCAACTACACCCATCAACATCTTACATTCCGAAATTAGCACCATCTAGAACAGATTGTGGACTAAACCTCCCAACACCACTCTCGGTAACTTTATGCACCGATCCATCCTCCGACGATAATGAGAGCCCAGACACACCACTAATAACACCACCTAATTTATGTTTGCAACCCGCCACAGGAACAGGAGACGACGGTGCAGAAAATATCATAAACCTGCCCCTGCGCTGTGATTGGCTGGCCTTTACCTCGGTCAAGGAGCACTGAACTGGGAACGCTCCAGGGGCTAAAAACGAATCACCAGAAGGATCCGAGTGGAAATTTCCGGGGGCTGAAAGCAAAACACCTGAAGGATCTGAAAGGAAAGACTTACGGGGTGAAACTCTAGGAGCTGAAGGGGAGGTCAAAGGACGCTGATTATTGGAGGTTGTTGAGAGGGGAGGCGAGGATGGGGGAGAAATTGATAGCAGTGAAAGTGGTGGGGTTGTGTTGCGGGCTGTTGATTGTTCAGAAGGTGTAGACTCTGAAGGTGTAGAAGGTTCCGTAGGCATGCTGGTTGTGGCGCCATCTCTACTGATGACCCCATCGGAGCTGGTGCTGCTTCTGGAGTTTGCCTCTGCTGCTGCTGCCTTGCTACACTGCTGGCGCTGCTGGTGCTGCTGGCGCTGGTGATGGTGGTGCTGGTGCTGCTGCTGCTGGTCTTGGTGAGTATGCTGGCCCATCCGATGCGGGTGACGATGCTGATGCTGTTGATCCTGCTGATGCTGCTGATGCTGCTGGTGCTGCTGATGCTGCTGATGCTGCTGATGCTGCTGATGCTGCTGGTGATGGTGCTGCTGGTGCTGGTGAGTATGCCGGTCCTTCTGATGCTGCTGGTGATGGTGGCAGTGCTGGCGCTGCTGCTGATGGTAGCGCTGGCTTTGATGCTGCAGCTCAAACCATGGATGGTGCAGGATGCTGCTTGATCGGATCCGTCGATTGGGGTCCACGTCCAGCATCCGACGGATGAGTTCCTTCGCCTCATGCGAGATCAGTGTCCAGGGTTGGCCCGTCTCCAGATCCACCTCTCCCCTGCAAACCGCAGCGAATACTGCATTCTGGTTCTTACCGTAAAACGGTAGTGTACCGGAGAGGCAAGTGTACATTATCACACCTAAACTCCACACGTCCACCTCCTCTCCATACTCCCTTCCCCTTACTGTCTCAGGGGCCATGTAAAAAGGGCTCCCCACCATTCCATGCAGCCTGCACCCGCGTTGTAACACCCTCGCCAACCCAAAATCAGCAATCTTTACCTCAATGCACTGTGCTGTTAACGAGTTTGCTGATAGAAAGGATGGGCATAGACTAACAGCTGAAGCCTCTCCAGAATCCATGTGGCAGCAGCTCCTGGTGAAGAGATTACTGTTCGAGTAACTGGATCTGCTTGTAAGGAGGATGTTTTCCGGCTTCAGATCGCGGTGCACTATTCCCCTCTCGTGCATCCGTGCCACTGCTGCCGCGAGTTGCCTGGGGGAGAGGGGTGGGATGTAGAAGAGTAGATGGGATCGAAGCGGGACCGACTCCGGACTGCTTTTGGGGAAACCAGCGTGCATTGCGCCCATCCATGCCCCTCTGGTGCATCCGTGCCACTGCTGCTGCAAGTTGTTGAGGCGCCTCAAAATGTGGAGAGTAGGACACGGGAATCAAGCGGGTGCACATCAGGAGAATATGTGGGAAATGTTTAGAATGGTGGTGATGAATGAGGAAACAAATAGAGAGGACTGGGGGGGAAAGAGAAGGGAGGGAAGTGCTGGATAGAAAATGTGGAAGAACTTTGGAGCAAGAAGGAAGACTCTTGTAATTATTCCAGCATCCGGTGACTACGCCGGTTACCTGATAACGTCATCCACCCCACCTCATTATGTGGCAAATTTGGCGTTCATCCAGCCTCTCATGTCGCGCCACATGGTCGAACAAATCCCCTCCCTCGCAGTATTCCATCACCAGATGCACCGCAGAGTGGTCCTCGAAAACATCCACCAAACGCACGAACTCATTTTCATTAACTTCATTTCGCGTCTTGTAAGCATATTCACTCCTTTTTGTAGATCCAACCCCATTTTCATCCGCGTTATAGCAGTCAGCATCAGCAGTGTTCCGGTCCGCGTCAGCCACGTCCGTTATCCGCACGAACTTCAAACACCGCGCGCCTGACACTCCCCGCCACTGATATTCCCCTTGCCTTCCCCCATGCCCCCCCTCTGTACTCCGCTGCTCCTCTCGCGCTGCCTCGCCCTCTTCCCCGCGCGCTGCTTTCACCGTTCCTTCCCCGCATCCAATGGCTTTCCAGCCTTTGCTGCGCCCTGCGCCCGCCTGTTTCCCCCCCTGCGATGCTTCACCTCCTTCCCTCGCGCGCGCTGCTTGCGCCTGTTTTACCCCGCGCGCTGCATGCGCCTGTTCTTCCCCGCGCGCGGCTTGCAACAGCAGCGGAATCAGCACTTCCGCGCGTAACTCGCGCATGGCCTCGGGAGTCTGCTGAGCGGGAGACATGGAGCGGCGGATGCGGGGCGGAAGGGAGGGGAAGAAGGCAATAAAAGGGAATGGAAAGAGTACAAAGAAATATACTCAAACGGTAATTAAGCCGCCAGCGCGCAAGCACTGCCTGCAAAGTGGATCCCAGCCAGCCACTACCTGCCTTGGTCCCCGACCTGCCTGCCTTGGTCCTCGACCCAAGAGCCCCCAATCATGAGACTAACCACAAAAAATATTTTTGAGTCGACTCAAAAGGTGATTTTTTTTTTTTCTTTTTCTTTTTTTTCTTGAGTCGACTAAAAAATGACCAAAGAGCCCCCAATCATGAGGCAAACCACGAAACATTTTTATTGAACGTGCCGGAAATAATGAAGAGTCACGCACAGTCATCTGCGACTTGAGAACGGTCGTGCAGGCGAACCGCTCGCTTGTTAGATTGGAGTCATCTATGAGGAAAAAAAAAAAGCATGAGGCAAACCAGAAAGTTAACGAAGCAAGTCGTAACGCACAGTTATTTGCGACTTGAGAGCGGTCTTGCAGGCGAACCGCTCGCCGGTTCGCCGGTCTTCGCAGAGCCGCACCACGCCGAAATGGCCTCGCCCCAGCTCCGTCCCGAGCCTGAACCGAGCCTCCAGGCTCGGCTCTTCACCCCCTCCTCCGCTACCGCCGCCACGATTCCCCGCACAGTGGCCGTCGCCGCCGAATGCGGCGAGGGAACCGATGCCGCCGTATTCCACGCCGCATTCGGCGGCGCCAGCCCGCCAATGGCGGCGTGCCTCGCGGAGTAGATCGTACACGTGGGAGCGTACGGCGGATCCGTCATCCAAGGCTGGCTCCAGGGGCAGGGCGGGAGCGGCTTGAGCGCTGACGTGGACGATGCCGCCGAACACGTGGCATGATGGACCTGGCTGACATGGCTGTACTTTATTGCTGCGCTCGATTTTGTCACAGTCGTTTTGATCACGCGAAGGTACTTCGTCCACGGCCTGACTGTCTTCTCCATAGCTTTGGGCGCATCGACTGGGTTGACAGGGTTGACTGGGCTCACCGCGTTGACCGGGTTTCGGGGGTTGACCGGTCGATCCGGCTGGCCGCCTGTCTGCGGCGGCGTCGGGCGCAGCCATTTCATGTCGCGGCGGGAGCGAAAGACATTATAGGACTACGCGGACAGCCTGGCGGCTACTACAGCGCCTAAGCCTTGTGTGGAATGTCGTATCGAGAGCAAATCGACGGTCTAGCCTATACGGCAAATCTACTGCCTGACAGCAGCAGAAGCCGCTACAAGCAGAAGCCGCCGCAGTACGGCGCGCACATGTCACCGATCCGTGTAGGTGAATGTGGAGGGGAGAGGAGGGGAAAGGGCGGGGAGGGCGGGACGGCGGAGAGGGCGGGGAAGGGAGGGGGGGGGGGAGGGAAGAGGGAGTGGGAGGGGAGAGGAGCGGCGGGCTTCCTAGAATCACGCGAGGCGTTCTCGCTGCGAGGGGGACTTTCGCGATGCAGGGCGGAGAGATGCCTTCGTACTCCTTGTGTCATGGAGTCCTAATGGCGCTAGGTGATGCGTTGGGAGGAGAGCCATGGCTGGAAGGACTTTTTTATCCTAGCAGGTGCTGTAGCACTAGGCGACTTTTCAGCACCTGCTAAATGAACTCTCCCTTTCTCCGGGTAAAAATGGAGTCCCCTGCAACAAGCCGAACTCTCCAAGAAGGATTATCGCCTTCCGCGCCTCTGGTTCTACGCTTGGGAATCAGAATGCGCGACACTATCGATCGAGTAAGCACGGACGGGATGGCGGCACTGAAGTGACGATCAACTTTGAGGCGGCAGCTTCTTCGCACGTGGACGGAGCTGCTGCTGGTGTGGTGAGTGTCGCAGAGAGACGGCGTAACGGCGTTATATGATGCTACTTGCAGTTGCTTGCGGGCTGGTCTATCCACAAACGAAACGACGCTGCTGAACTGAAGCCTGGGCCGGGCTGGGCTGGTCTGGGGACGACCATCGTCTGCAGCACCTCACACGCTAGCGGTGATTCTGAACCTTGCCTTCGAAAGCTGAGGAGGAAGGGATGAGAGAAAAATCTGCATATATGGTTGGGTGGTTTTATTCCGTGGACGTTGCGGTGCGAGGGGCTGCAGGTGGATTATCAGAAAGGTACGCTACGGTCTCACGCGTTCTTGTACGGGGTCCTACGGTTCGATGCGGCGATGCTGTCGATTTGGGGAATGGAGCTGGTAGCCTTTTTTTCACGCGAGAGATTTCCGTGAGCGGGTGGGCAAAGCCCGCGCAGCAGTCGCATTGCGAAATTTGAGCCAATTGAGAAACTGGGCCAACGCGGAAATTGTCGAATGCGCGACACTATCGAAGCAGGCGATTCGTGATGCGCGCCTCGGGATAAAAGCGCCATGCCAGCACAAAGGCCAATCCATACGAACCACGTGTATGATAGGGATCGAGACCATTGGATGTGACAAACACGAAATGCTGTGTTGGCTTTTGGCGACGCACACCAAATTTGCTGGAAACCCGAATTCGCAAACCTAACAGAGTTTCCATAAGTGTCTACAGTGACGAAGCAGCACACTCAGATGAATCCAGTAGAGTATACCTGTAAGGAAATGGTATTTCCTTGGTTTTAAGCAGTAACGCGTACACTGCTTTAATGGGATTGCCGCGGAGCTCTGCCACGAAATTCAAATCGCGGTCCCGGATGTGGTCTCCTGACGAGCCGCATGCATTATCGTCCGCCTTGCTGTTGGGTGCCTAGATCTAGGCGCTTCGCGCCATTTTACGAACCACACGTACGCAATCAAGGTCTTAGCAAGTGAGAAGCTACATGAACTAGACCAAGCTAGACACAGTGCCGCTGATGATATGTAGGCGCAAGCGCCTTCGTAAAGATATCAGCCGTGTTGGCACCTGAGGCCAAATGTACTACGCGGGTCTGGCGGCGCTGCTATAGCACGCGCATGAGGAAGTACCGCAGCTGAATGTGCTTTGCTCTGCCCTCCAGTCGAGGTTCCTGACATAGGAGGATCTGTCAATTTATACATATGTTTATATGTAGAAGTTATAGGCTAGATAGGCTTGTGTTCTTAGAGAGTACATCTCCGATTATATATCTTTCCTGTACACTCTTGTTCCTATCATTCTAGTATTCTAACATGGTATCATGAGTAGGTTAGGTCCCCCCACCCGCTTCCGCCCCTCGCCCTAGCCTACCGCGCCTCGCCGTCCCCTAGCGCGTCTGCCGCCCCCTAGCGTGCCCGCCGTCCCCTCGTGCCTAGCCGGCCCCTCGCCCCCAGCTGGCCCCTCGCGCCCAGCCGGCTCCTCTCGCACCGTAGCCGGCCCCTCGCGCCTAGCTGGCCCCTCGCGCCTAGCCGGCCCCTCGCGCCCAGCCATCCCCTCTCGCGCCGTAGCCGGCCCCTCGCGCCCAACTGGCCCATCGCGCCCAGCCGGCCCCTCTCGCGCCGTAGCCGGCCCCTCGCACCTAGCCGTCCCCTCTCGCGCAATAGCCGGCCCCTCGCGCCTAGCTGGCCCCTCGTGCCCAGCCGACCCCCTCTCACCTAGCCCCCCCCCCCCTCTCGCCTAGCCGGCCCCTCGCGCGCCTAGCCGGCCCCTTAGCGCCTAGCCAGCCCCTCGCGTGCTCACTGGCCTCTCGCACCTAGCCGGCTCCTTAGCCTCTTGCCGGCCCCTCGCGCCTAGCCGGCCCCTCGCGTGCTCGCCAGCCCCTTGTGCGCCTAGCCGGCCCTTCGCGCTTCCCGGCCCCTCGTGCGCCCGCCTGCCACTCGCGTACCTCCCCGGCCCCTCTTGCACCTCCTTGGCTCCTCGTGCGCCCTCCTGGCCCTAGCGCTCCGCCGGCCCTTCGCGCCCTGCCAGCTCTGCACGCCTCGGGCCCTGTGCGCCTCGGGCCCTCCTCGGCCTTCCCAACGGTTTTCCAGCCGGAGAGCCCTACCGCCGTGCCGCTGCGCACCTGTGCCGCTGTGCCGCCGAGTCCCCGTGCCGCTGTGCCGCCGTGACGCTGTGCCGCCGTAACGTTGTGCCGCCGTGGACCTATATCGCTGAGGCTGCGCGATGGCGGACTCTGTACATCGCCTGAACATGGAGGGACACGCGATCGAGTTCGCCGCCTGGCTTGTCGATCTCCGTTGGCACCTGACAGGTCAGAGCCATGATGGGCACTCCCTGGCTATGCATGTTGATGGCTTGCTTCCTCGCCCTTCTGCGCCTAATCCCCTCCCTGCTGACCCCACCACTGTTGAGTGTGAGGCCTTTGCTGCTGCTGCGATCGCTCGCGCTGTCTGGGATTCTCGCGATGCTGTAGCGCAACTCGCCATTAGTCATGCGCTTCCTCTGCCAGAGCGACCGCGCTTCACTGCTGTCGCGAACGCCAAGGACTTCCTAGATGCAGTAGTTGCGCGCTACTCCATCCCTGCCTCCGCCTCTGCTGGCCGCTTGATCCTCCCCATGCTATTTCCTGACCTTTCCTCTTTCCCCACTGTCGCTGACCTCGCTACTCACCTCCGAGCACTAGAGACTAGCTACTGCGCTGCTAGCACTACCGCCCAGCTCACTGCCTTTCCCCCACCGTTCTGCGCTATCCTGTACCTTATTGTCATGCGCCTGCCTGATTGCTTAGCCACTGCTCGCGACCACTTCCTTAGTCAGCACTCTAGCGACCTCACCCTCACCGCCTTTTTCACTACTCTGTCTAAGATAGAGACTCGTCAGCGCACTATCGCTCAGTTGAGCGATGTTGCGGCAGTCCCTATCTTTCAGGGCTGTGCTCCCTCCCAGTGCACGTACGCTGACGTCTCTGCCACGGTTCCCACGGCCGCCCCTACCACTGAGACAGCAGCTGCGGCTTTCCCGCAGTAGCGACAGCTTCGGGGCCGTCACGACCCCAAGGAAGGGCGTGGTGGTGGCGTTGGTGGTGGTGGTGGTGGTGGCGGGGACAGTGGTTATGACAAGGGGGTTGGAGCTGGTGTCCAGGACCAGCAGCAATCGCAACAGACGCAGTAGCAAAAGTTGCAGTCGCAGCAGCAGCAGCAGCCGCCGCAGCAGCAGCAGCAATGGCCCCGCCTCCCGCCGGGGTGGCCAGGGGCCCCAGGAGGTGGTGGCCGCGGTGGTGGCCCGCGCTGCTCGGCGTCTACAGGCAGCTTCAGTGCTGTGAGCTGTCAGTACCAGCTCCAGACCAGACCCCTCCATGACACCATGTGCCGCCGCCCGCACCCGACCGCCCGCTACCTCCGCCGCCTCGACGACCTCTTTCGTTGCCGCTTCAGCTCGGCCCCGGACCTCCCTGACTGGCCTAGTCTGCTGCGCCACGGTGTGCCTGTTTTTAACATAGACATGGATCAGATTAGTTCTGCCCTGCATTCTCTGTATGCTGACGCTTCTAGTGTGTCCGGATCTTATTACCCTGTGTTCTCTACCTTAGGCGTAGCACCTGTGTGTAGTTCAAACTTCCCTGCTGCGACAGGTGTAGGACTGTTTACTTTGTCCAGCCTGGGCTCTACACTCACTCCTCCTCCGTCTGCCGCTACTGCTTCGCTGTCCTTCACACTTGACTCCGGTGCGTCAGCCTGCCTCTTCCGAGACCACGCCACCCTCGCGCCGCTTGCCGCGCATGCGGCTGTCGCACTTGCTGACCCCTCCTCAAGTCCTGTCGTAGCTCGCAGCTACACTACCCGTCCCTGTCCGGCGGTCCCCTCGGGTTCCCTTACAGACCTGCACATCCCTTCGTTCTCCATAAACTTAGTTGGTGCCGGCTGTCTTCAGGACCTCGTCGTCACCACTACGTTCCGTGGTCACAAGCGGTACGCTGTCTGTACAGAGGCTGCCTCAGGTTCCCCCGGGACCCGGTGTCTGGCTTGTTTACGCTGGACACTGCTTCCTCCTGGGTGGGCGCGTCCTCCCCGGGTCCTGCATCTACCCAGGTTGCTGTGGCTTGCTCGTGTCGGACGCTCACTCACCCGTCGCTTCTGTGGCACCACTGCCTAGGTCACCCCACACTCCCACGTCTGCGTCACATGTCTCAGCACAGTCTCATCCTAGGTCTCCCTGCATCGCTTCCTGCCCTCCCTCCCTCGCCTGCGCCGCCGTGCACGCCTTGCGTCGAGAGACAGCTGCGCTGTGCTCCTCACTCCTCTTCGCTTTGCCCTGCCACTGCACCCCTCCAGACCCTGCACTTGGACGTCTGGGGCCCAGCCCTCGTCCCTGGACCGCGTCGCGAGCGTCACTTTCTCGTGCTCGTCGACGACTACACGTGCTACACCACGGTGTTTCCCCTAGAGCGGAAGGCCGACGTGCCTGACGTTCTTATCCCGTGGGTCGTAGTTGCGCGCCTCCACCGTGGTCTCCCTATGCTGTGTCTCCACTCTGACCGTGGCAGCGAGTTCGCCTCTGGTCGGCTTGGACAGTTCTGTCGTGCGGAGGGCATCACCCAGTCGTACACCCTACCGGACTCCCCGCAGTAGAATGGGGTCGCTGAGCTACGCATCGGTTTGGTCATGGAGGTGGCTCGTACCTCCATGATTCATGCCGGTGCACCCCATTTTCTGTGGCCGTTTGCCGTTCGCTACGCCGCTCACCAGCTTAACCTGTGTCCGCGCTCCCAGCAGCCGCAGGTTTTGCCGACCCTTCTTTGGACCGGGTTCCCTGGTGACGCGTCCGCGTTCCATGTCTGGGGCTGCCTTGCTCATTTTCGTGCCTCTGGCACGGACAAGCTCACTGCCTGCACTGTCCCCTGTGTCTTCCTCGGTTTCCCCCTTGAATCGTCTGACTTGCACTTTTACCACCCGCCGTCTCACCGCTTCTTTCACTCCCGTGACGCTACTTTCGACGAGTCTGTCTCCTTTTACCACC